CAAGAGCTTACCTGGGCGATTGTTGTCTGTAGACTTCACTGTGAGTTATGCTTCTAAATGCACACGGTAAAAAATAAATTGTGCATTGTAAATATTGGAAAACATATGAATGTGTTGGTTATGGGCACATATACATGAGGCAGAGTTTCCAAACTATAGAGAGTAGATATACATATTGAAACAAAGTCTAAATATATCCAAGGAACATATAAATGGGTACATGTTCTACTATTTAAGTTGGTGTGGCGTTGGTGTCCATCTGATTTGTCTCTGCAAATGAACCTCGGAGCAACACTTCTGATCCGTCTGATATTTGGACTATAAAGCCGGCGCTGGGGAAATATGGCACATTGACATTCCTCCCCCTATCTGGTAATGAAATTGCTTAGCGCGATTGCATCCTTTCAAGCATTACACTGTGCTCGCTCATATGGATTTAATCCTGTTTAGAGAGGCTATTGCTGAGGGCATTTCGGCATAATGCCAGTTTGAAAGTACATCCATTGAGTCTTGAATAAGTTGCCCTCTTACAAATATCTGAATGGGATTATTGATAATCAAAAGTGATGAAGAATCTTCACATGCTAATTATATTCTGCATTGATTTGGATATTGTGTGTGCAGATTACCACTAACGGTACTCCTCTGTCAAGTTTTTTTAAATTAACAATTGATAATAGGTTTCTGAATGTCATCATAAAACATCCACATATTGTACACAGTCAGGTTTCAGGTGTTAATTTAGTTGTGAATATAAGACCATAATCTCAAAGTTTATAGCGCTGAATATTAAATTGTCCCGTCCATTGAGCTGAAAAAGAAAAAGGACATTATGGTATTACAAAATCCACGTTTGCAGCACGGTAATACTGCAAGCTCAATTAGACTAAAGGAATGGGAGATAAGACAGAGGAAATTACATTATCACCCTGGCAGAGTGGCATAATTCTCGCTGTTGACACAGTAGATAACATGATGGCTGCGATATGACTGCAGGATTATAACCGCTAGATTTGATGCCCGTCAAATGTCCTCTAGTGTACGTACCTAATGGAGTGTCACTACTTGTATCCAAATTGCCTTGGTTTATCTTACAGGAGCACTCTCTTCCATTTGCTTTTCCCGTGATTTATACATTCAAATGCAAAACAACTATTTATAATGAAACCTTCAATCATTGGTACACTTGGTGGCTTCCAATGACAACAAATTGTCTTTATATTTTCCCATATCTTCTTTTTTATTTAAAAAGGTTCTTGTTTCATGACAGTATACAGTATACACCCCCTTAAATGGTCAAAATGGTTTCAAACTACTTTATCTTAAATTACAATAGTATATTGTAGTGTGTGTAATCAAGGGCATAACAGTCTGCATATGTTAGTTCTTATTTCTACCATAGGGATGTAACTTGAACGTTTCATGATTGTTGTAATTTGATGTAATTGTTATTTTTTCCATTAGTCTAATACTTCAGTATAGACTAATGTCTGCGCAGTCGGCGCAGACTGAAAACTCATCTCTTTCGACTCCACTTCGAGCGCTAGAATTACTAACAAAGAACTGCTAACAAAGCACTTATATACTAATAAAGGACTGGCTTATCTAATGTAAAGCCAGTTGAGTAGCACTTGAAATGTTTTGGCTCTATGAAACCTGATGTACTTATATGATTCTGTTTTCTTCAAGTTTGTATCTTCTTGGTCGAATGCACTTATTGTAAGTCGCTTAATGTAATGTAATGCTCAGAGGTACCAAAAGTAAATAGTGTGACCAACAGTCAATAAAACAGTTTAACAGCCATATGAAACATAAATACACAGGGTTCCCGCGGGGTCTTAAAAAGTCTTAAAAAGTCTTACATTTGATAATCAGAATTGAAGGCCTTAAAAAGTCTTAAATATGATCAAAACAATTAGAAAGGTCTTAAATATGATTTAAAAGGTCTTAAAAATGATCGGATTTGAAAGGTACTTCTGTGTTGCGATCACGTTTAAATGTGTTTTGGGGGAAATGTCCGGGCTGCAAAGTAACCAGTACGGTAAGAGCCTTTCAGTTCCCCCCAACAATTTGTATTGAAATAAATCAACATGGAACCAGTAATCACCAGTAATTCCCCCGGCCCCTTATTGGAGAACACCCAGCTAGCAACCAAGCTTCAGCTAGCGAGAGCACACTCGTGAACCGTTGCGCCGGGAGCATGCACAGCAAAAGCAAAAACTCCCAGACATTTCAATGATTTGTATGGCAAAGTTAGGTTTGGAAACAATATCATTTCCTTTTTGGAGGGCATGCATAACACGGCATAACACCGGAGCCTCGCTGCGGGGAAACTTTTGCGCTGTTCTGCTTTCAGATTTTTCAGTCATTGTTAAAAAAAAATCCGTCATAGACGGAAAATATTCGGTTAACGCGACCACTGCCTCCGGGCGCGCGCGCACACACACACACACACACACACACACACACACACACACACACACACACACACACACACACACACACACACACACACACACACACACACACACTGTCATGTTCAGTCATCGTTCTTATGTTGAACGTGAACACATTTACTTTGAAAGTAATTATGGGACATATTTCTTCTTTCATAGCAATTTTCCTTCATACTTTCTTGCTGTGAAATAGGTCTTAAATTCTATTCAAAGTGGTTTTAAAAAGTCTTACATTTGAGTTGGTGAAACCTGCAGGAACCCTGATACAATATATTACAATTATATGTTATTTCTACTAGATGACAATTATCCAAATTAAGCTTATCAATTTATAATTTCAGCACAATTTCCCTTGACGTTGTATTATTTTGTGAGCAACTTCTAACTGAACATATTTATACTTTAAAGTAACATCAAAATGGCGATAGAAGACAATCTTATCCATTGCATGTAGGCCTACCCTACCTTTTGCTAAATGAATGCCATACTTTTCTTTACACTAAAAATGTCAGTTAAGAGCTCACTGTAGTGTAGATTAAGTATAAGCAACAGCATTAGAGCACACATAACCATAATATACTGTGGTGTAACAACGACGTGAACAGTGTTGGGGTCGTTACTCAAAAAAGGTAATGCCTTACTTGACTAAATTACCCACTGCTGAAAGTAATTAATTACACTAGTTACATTACTTTTGGACTACTCTGACTACATTCTTAATCTAATAAGGGCAACACTATAAACAGACCTGTGTTTCCTGCTCTTTATTTGAACCTCAGCCATGTTTTCTTTACCTCAGTTTCCATCGCGGCATAACACTGGTGCTGTCTGATGGCGGCAGGCCACTCATTACCTGTATCTTGCTCAATATGTTTCAGAAAGATGGCGATTCCACCATCGAAATGGGCAACATTACCTCCACAATGTACGCTGCGACCAACCTGTTTATCTCTGCTATACGACTCTGACATTTTTGCTCCGTCTCCTTATTCATGAACTCGCAAGTGTAGCGCGAGTGAAAAAGGACGTTTGATTTGTTTTTCTGCCCTCCCAATACGCAGATAGTTGAAAACCTTCAAGTATTGCAAGTAACAAGATAATTTAGTGATAAGTTATTACAGTTACTAAGCACAACATTCTTTCTAAGTAATGTAATTACAGTTACCCCCAACACTAGATGTGAACATATTATATGATTTAGTTTGTTTATGTTTAAAGTGTTTTTTTAATGATTTGTCATGTATGTTACCTGTACATGTAAAGTGTCTTTTGAGTACCTCATTTAAAGTACCTATATCTATGCTCGCAAGGGTAAATAAAATGTATTATTATTATAATTAACATGGATATGAGTTTGAGACGTGTATAGTTGATGGTTCACAAATAACACTGTGTAATTACAGTGCAATATTACAACAAAGCTACAGATGTACACACTCACAACACAACATATAAATGGAAATATTTCAGGCTCAGAGAGATTGAAGCCTCCTTTTGAAGTCACTCGTTCCGGTTGGGTGCTCGAGCTGACAGGGTTATTTTTGGGCCAATGAGAATGCACCGTGATTAATGGCTCAAAACAAAAACTCCATCCTGAAACTGTAAGTGTTCAGTGCACTGTATTCGGAAGCTGATAGACCATCTGGGCCGATGACACCTCTAAATTAGAGCTGGTATCATAGACGCATTATAGACCCCAGCCCTTAGTTTATCGAACACACTCACCGCGCAGAATAACACCTTAAATCAACCTTATAGCCATGTCATTTGTGACGGTGCCTCCTGTGGAGCAGCCCCACCATTCTGATGTCATCTGATCTCGGTAGATGAAAGCCCATCTTGGGGAAATTCAGCAGCACCTTAATGGCACCTTTCCGAAACGCTCGCTCGCAAGGGTCGTCCGTAGACTGTAATTGGTGCAATATATCTCACCTAATCTGTTCCTGTCTCGAATGAGAAGGGAGAGGCTCCGCGAGAGACCTTTTTATTCCAGTCATGGCGCAGGAGAGGTCACCAATATACAGAGACACACCTTGAACATTTACATTCATTGCAGGCTGAAGTTGTAAAGCTCCCTCCTCTGCCGTGCGGTGTCATATTTCAGCGAGGTTTGACAATGCTGGTGCTTCACAGCTCTCATAAAAAGGCTCAATTTTCTTCTACCTAGTGAACCATTGTTGAGTGCTCTATCTCTTATCTCTGCTGTGCTAATTTTGGGTACCTCACAGTAACACATTGTTCATTGTCACAGGCTTAAGAGATATTAATGAATGTGATTGCTCCATCCTCCACTTGTGTTTGGACTCCATGCAACTGCATTTGACTTGATCATTCTCTGTGCTATCATTTCCGCTTTCCGGCACATTTATAAAGCTAGAACATTATAATAAAACTGAATGACTGCTACATTAAAAGCTTTTTGTGATATTCTTCCCGTCTAATAGTCATTTTGAGTTATTCAGAAGGTTACATAAAGTCAGATCACATCGTTTTGTCTGACTGACGTCTGTCTGTCTCTCTGTTTTTCTATGTTTTTCATCTCAGATTCAGAATGCAGATGATGTGTTGATTACACCGTTGGAAAAATTCCGGAAGGAGCAAATCGGTGCTGCGAAGGTAAGAGCCCACCTACACACGCAATTAGCAACTGAACAGTGGAAGATGTTGTACCACACTTGCCTCTCGTCTTCACCCCTTTCATCTCCCCTACAGTATGCAAATCATTCATTAAAAAGGAAGACGTGACACCTAGAAAAGTGTCTTAATTAGACTGATAGGGGGTCTAAAAAAGAAATCAGGTGGCTATGTGATATTAAATTATATTAGGACTTGTGAGTGAAAAGATCTTCAGTTATTTATTTATTTTTTCTTGTCTAATGTTAAGTTGAAGATGGCACTTTTAACTAAACAATTATCTGCTGGCAGATATTCTCAAACTGTGCTGTGGGTGTTATTTAAAAATAACATTGAAGACATCAAATGTTGAAACCACATTAATTAAACCACTGTATTTAACACATAATTGTACTTATTTACTTACAAATAGTGTTACGCAACATGAACGAGTGCTAAGACTTCAGTATCACAGCCTGAGTTCTGTTCACCCTTCAGAGCTACTTCTGTATTATCAAAATGTTATAATGCATTTATAATCTGATTACTGTAACCCTACAGTATCTAATATATGGCATTAACCATTGTTGTAATCTGATTACTGTAGACCTGTTACATGCAATGCATTCCTTCTATCCTATTGGTCATAGAGGATTGATAACAGTGGGCTTCTGCAGATGTCGCCTGGAGGCACCCTGGTTCCACTGTGGATATGCTGTTGAAGTTGCCTGCTAAAACCAGTGTGGGCTTGTTGCCACAAGCCATGCTTTAATTCCTGGCCAACGCAAAGGCATAAAATGAAAGTGTAGCCACTTGTTTGTGGTCTCTCTCTTGATGAGATCACACATGGATACTCCAGTAGAAGTCGGGCCCTTACAGAGAGCCCCCGCTGTGTCCCTCAGTCCACTGCTAGCTCTGCACTGGCCTCTGTGAATCATTTGCACATCTTCAGCCCTAAACCTCATAAGGGGAATTCCTAACTCAAAGTCTCACCCATCTTGATTTATTTTACATGACTTGACAGTCACTGGTCTGCAAAAGTAACCATTTTACTGCTTTTTAGGAGTGCAAGCCGCAATGTAAAGGAACTATTTCTCTTCTCAGTGCTGAGGTGTGAACATCCATCACTCTCCTTTTTTACTGCCCAGACTAAATAACCATTGTCGCTACATGTCTCAGCCACCGCATGTACCTACCGTAATGAAAAAGCACATATTGCTGCCATCTCTTTCTCTCACTGTCCCCCCCATCACAGTTCTCAGTGTTATTGCACAGACTCTCTATGTTTATAAAATGGTTTCTTAAAAGCCACAGCCCCCGTCACTCCCACCACCTCTTATTTCCTCCGACCACTTCCTCCTAATGGCTCTCTCCTCCTACGGCCCATCCCCCGCTAAACATTAGCCCAACTAGAGTGAGATAAAAGGCAGACATCACGAGTGGCTGAGCAACTTTCCACTGTTCCGAGAATCTGGAGAGATCTGCAGGCCGTCTGACCCTTCCAGTTACTGCGCTTCGGAACGTCAGACGGACAAACTGGGAGCTCTTGCCTTATTTGGGAATAATGCGAGTAATCCCATGGAGGTTGCGTACCAGTGTATCAGCTCCTTACGCACAAGCGCAACACTTTCATGGCCATAACACACCAGCAGATTGAATGCAGCACTACGGGACGTATTTGGCACAGTCTGCTTCACACAAATGCTGGAACAAACTTGTACATCATAAACAAATACACATCAAGAAAGCCACAAGAATTCAAACAATCATGCATTTTCACTGCATTTACCTTGTGTGCTTGCTGCAAAACCGGGATGTAGAACTGACATTTTTCAAAGACCCTTTTTCTCAGTTCCAGATACATTTTTGTGATCTGAAAGTTAACTTCACAGGCCAAGAACTGAACTGAAATAAGGACCGAAATCTGTGTTGGTTTCATTGTACTTTACTCTTTGCTGTCACTGCATCAACACAGTCAGCTCTGAATGAATTTCCTGTATCTTGGATCTCATCCTTGTGGCTGAACTTTCTCATAGTCCTGCTCCTCTGATTGCTATGCATGTGTATTTTTCACGTAAACTTTTGGAGTAAAACTGCCTAAAGCTTGGTCCCCATTATATGTGTTTGTTTAGTGGTTGTCAGGTTCCTGAAGGCCTGACAATTTAAAAAGTCCTTAGGGACAAGGAATTACCAGGGGGGGTCTAACTTTTGGCATTCCTGACAAAATGTTGTTCCATTCAAGGGTCCTTAATGTGGGAGCACCCTAGGGGTCCTTCACTTGCTGAGTGTGAGGAACTAGTGCAAACAGACCCAGATGAGAGTCAAGATAATTTGAGCTGTCCTCATCCTACAAGGGGTGCACAGACATCAGATGATTCTCTAGTTTGAGTCTCCAGAGGCAGAAATGACATATGCATTCATGCTATGAAATCCCAGATGCTAACCAAGACGCTGCTGAGGATAGGGATCAATTTAAGTGGTTGGGAAATATGCTCGCCAGCTGTGGGCTGCACTAAAACTTCAATCATAGAAATAAAGCATATACAGTATACATTGTTTTAGTTTGCTTACCTGGGGATGTTGTGCTAAAGAAACCATTGGAAATTAGGGCTGAGCAAAGGCTTCATTTCCAGTGGAAGTGTATAGTGCTGATGGAAAAGTGTTATCGGTTTACAACATCCTTCGGAAAGTTAATTGCCAACGGTACCAACAGATGGTGCCAATAAGAGAAACGTACACATAGTGACTTTAATTGACACGGTTTATGTATAATAAGATGTGACCAAAGTTCTGCACAGTTATCCCAGCAGTACTTTAAACACCAGATGATTGAATATGTAATTGATGTCCTGTTGATTTGCAGAACATTTAGCATAATAAACTTTGTCAGATTGTGAGAAAATGGTTGATGTAGCAAAGAAATACACACTGCAATAAGACAAGAAAAACAATAGGCTTCAAAAACACTTCGCCCAATAACAGTGAGAGAAAAGGAAGTTAAGGTGACAGCCGTGGGGATGACTCTTACTTTATGCTGCAAAACAACAAAATGCATGAATAGGATGATGGAAATTAAATACAATTCCTTTCATTATTATCTTGTCTGTCCCATCATATTCCACTGTGCCCTACCCAATAAAGCAGAAACACCATTAAAAACAATCTTTCAGAAAGTAATGACTTTTTTCTCCTGATCACTAGCATTTCACGAGCCAGTCAAAGTAGACCTTGAGAGGTCGGTCTCTTACCTGTTTGAAGGCGGCAGCCATCCACTGTAAATATTTTGAATTCTTGCAAAAGCAATATGCATTAAATTAGCTTATATTCAAACAGCGACAACATACAGAATTAACTAAAGGCCCTAAAAGTATAAGTCAGGAGTATATGTTGGCAGTTTTAAAAGGGTATTCATGGTTTCGCGGAAAGTTTTAATACAATTCCCTTTTATCTAAAGGACAGTATCCGCTATACACTGCAATTTAACAATGACTTCATTTTGATGGATGAGCTGACATAATGGTTTGTAGTCTTATTGTATTTCTTTGCAGTGTATTCACTGTTTTCTGGCGCCAAAAGTGACACTGAACACAGGACTGTTTCACATCATTCCCTTTTTATGGTGAACATTTCCAGACAATCTTCTCTGGCTTTGGGTTAAAGAAAGCTGAATTGTTGAGAAAAGAGTAACGTCATTGATAAAGATGAGAGGTTCACAAAGACACAGCAACTATTAGAATGGACATTGATATTAAATGCATAATAAAAGAAAACAAACTCTTCAATAACCTTGTTATAAACATAGAGTTATTTGAAGATGGCCTCAATGTTGTTATTAAAAAAACTTCCTGTTGCCTCGCACATAATGAGGGCAGTGTGAGAGAGCTCCTTAGTCATCCCCGACCAGTGTCCAAAACAAATAACCATTTGTGTATCATCTTAACAAGGAGTTCCAAACTTCCTGATGATTCAAAAGGTCTTTTCCCACACATGATGTAGCCCGTGCGGTGGAAAGAACAAGTAGATCTTAAAGGGGAACACCACCTATATTAAAGGGGCACTATTATGCAAATGTTCACGTTTCATAATTGTATTTTGTGCCTCTACTGTGACATGCTTTAATGTTCAAAAAGTGCTTTATTTTTCTCATACTGTCTGAAACCAGAGCCCAGTCTGCTCTGATTGGTTAGCTGGCCGGCTCTATTGGGATCCAATGGAGTCCAATGGAGGCGTTTCAGGCAGGGGGGGATGTTAGGGAGAGAAACTCCCTCTGGAGGGAACTTTGGGATTTTAGTCTTTGCAGATTATTTACATGCAAAAACCTGTATAAAGCACTACAGGAAAGATAAAACCCCAAAAGCATAATAGGTCCTCTTTAAGTTATTTCCAAGGCCTAGGCACGTTCAATCGGTATTTGTGAACATGAGCTACTCTTTCTCAAATCCAGACAAGTAAGTCTTGGGATGTGTAAATTCTCCTCCAGAGACGATGAATAATGTTGTGGACCCACACGACTTTCCTTTCACAAACTATTGCTATATACTTGGAGCACTCCCCTGGCTGCTCTGTGTCATCTTCAGCATATTTCCCTGTTCATGGTCTATGGATCAGCTCCAGATGTATAACTTAATGACATCACAAATTTGATCGCTCTAGTGTTGTTCATGTTTACTAATATTATTGACTGCCTTTTACTATAGGAGTGACATGTAAAACATGTGATAATGTGCATAGTTTCCCTTTAAGATGGAGAAGCCTTCAGGGATCCCTATAGGATTGAACGGAGCTATATTCCTAAAGCCTGCCAGAGGACTGTTTGAAACCATTACAATAAAAAAGCTTTTGAAGGTTTATGAGAATGTAGATACCAGCTTCTTACCCTATCAGATTCAAAGGCAATTTCTTTGTTCACTCTTCACATACTAGGCTATATGGAGCTTTTTGTACTTATATTTGTATTACTTTAGAATAATGTCATCATGTTCCAGCGAGAGAATGGGCACTAAATGGTATAAATGTGTTTTAGATGAAAGCTTTGCAGTTTGCCACATACACACTAGAAACAATATTTTTAGAAGTCTGGGTATTTGTTTTCAACTCTGTAGAAGCATCTGTTTGTAATTATTTCGTGTTAATTGGCCAACTTCTTGCTGCCTGTGATGTCTCCTCAGGAAGTGGGATTTCAGGTTAGCAGGGAGATATTTTCTGTCTTTGCAGCAAAGAAACTCCAGCTGAAATCCTTGCGTTCGCTCAGCCGCCCCCGTGGAAGTGAGACCCTCTCATGTGTGGTGGAGCATTAAAAAAAAAAAAAAAGCAGCAGCTATTGCTATTTAATCGCCATTCTGGACCCCTGCTCCAATTAGTTTTCTCTAATGAGCTTATAGAGATAGGTTGTGGAGCTCTCCTTTTATGTCCCTGCCCAGAGAATTCATTTTAAATGAACTTCTGGTGCTGCACGTGACACCTCTCTAGCCATTGATGTTTATTTTATGCCATTGTGTTGGAAGGAAATGAGGAAGTGTAGTGTGTGATAACCAGGGTTCCTTCCTCACACATTCAACCTACCTCACTGCTTACATCTGTTACCATGGCAATGAGAGGCTGAGAAATAATGGCCCCGAGGCTCGTTAGGGCCAGTGTCAAAACTGCGGATGTACGGCCACCCTCCAAATATGGCCCCCGTCTGCTCCCAGCACCCGTTCTTCTTTAGCACGCTGAGAACACCTGATGACCAGTTGAAAGGCTGCCTGCCGCTTTTCTCATCATTTTCCTCCCTGCAACGCTCCATTAGCAATTAGCAAATGCACACATACTACAGCTGGCATCAAAGTGCTCTTAACGTCAACATGAGATTCGCCCGTGAAAGATTCTACTACAGAGGAAAGCCGCATCAGAATTTCTCATCCTGTATCTGATTTATTCATGAGTGCGAACAAAGCAATCAGATGAGGAAATCTCCCAAGTGGTAGGTCCATGTGTGTTTTGTGCACTGCAGAGTGTTGGGAAGTACTTGGGCTTCATCCATTGCCAGCCAGCTGATTACACAGGGGGGGCGCTGGCATTAGTTTGTCAGAAACGCCCCTGTCATGTGTTCTTCAGTGTTTATATCTCTCCACATCTATGATCTCTGCTACCCGTGTAGGACTTCAAAGCCTTCGCCTGCAATGTTCCCTCCTTCTCTCGGAGAGTCTTTGCTATTTAAATTGTTTGTATTTCACCCTGATTACACAAACAGATCTGGGGGGCAGGGGGGGGGAGATGCTTTCACCACATGGACAAACCAACAAACACCTGGTGTTCTGCTGGGCTATCATTACGGTAGTGCCAGTTTGTACACGTTCTGCCTGGATCAAAACAAAGCAGGACACTTTGGGTGACTTAATCAGGCTGGCTCTGCCTCACAGATTCTCTGCAGCTCTGAGTCACTCCCCAGCTCTTTGCTTTGGACGTGTGAAAGAGTTAGTCCAGACAAACTGTGGAGGTGTTTTTCTTTGCGAGGAGTTTTTTGGCACACTGGTCAGCAGTGCTGGGAGATTCCTGCTGTGACTGCGGGGCTCAGCTAAACCTGAAGCTCATAATTTAATGTGATCCCCAGTGTGTGTGTTTGTGTGTGTTTATGTGTGTGTGTGTGTGTGTGAGTGTGCGTGTGTGTGCGCGCAGTGGTATTTTCCCCAGGGCTTTAGTTGCATGCGTGCGCACAAAATAATGTCAACAGTAGTCACAGTGGTAGACAGTCAGCCCCCTTTTTGTTATCTGAAAAACAAAAACACCCGACCCTGCAGGGAAATGTAATTCCTGGCAACATGATATCATATTTAATCACACATCTTTTTTACTTTACCTTTTTTTGTTTCTGAATAGTGGGCACACGGTGTACAGAATTGATTTTTTATTTTCTCCGCGCTACTGACAAGATCAACCATGGGGCAGACATGACCAGAGAAATGGAAATCAGATGCTACTACATGGAATTATCTATTGATTTTTGTGCTGTATTTGTAAAAGTTATGTAGGGGGGTTACAGTGTCTCCTGGTGAATTCCTCCGCTGTGTTTAACTGCTGGGGGGGAGAAGGGGGGGAGGTGCTGAGGCAGAACACTGTTCTAGGTCATATCAGTAGCTAGATTAGACTTGCTAAATTTCAGGGCCATGGGAATGAAAACAAACAATGAGGATCTGGTTACATTGGCCGTTTCCTCACACTTTCCCCCACCCCCTCTTTTATTATGTCTCTCCACTCGCCCCTGCATGAGTGTTTGCATAGCGGGACGGGCATTAAATGGGCAAAGCTTGGTTTAGAGGTCAGACTTGCAGATGAGACACTCGAATGCCCTCGCACAGTCAGGTTCTGTTTGCATGGGCAGAGTTTGATTAAAGCCTGCAAAGTGGATCTTTTTTTTTCGGTCAGGGGGAAAAAATGTTCAATCTCTTAGTCCATATGCTTTTATAGATGGGCATCTGGCATGAAAAGCCCATTTCCTGTTCCTTCATCGCAGCCTTCTGGGACACCCTGTCTGAATCCTGGGACTCGTGACTACATAGCTTGACTTGTCTTCGTAGGTGGAGCATAACAAGGAAGGAAAATGCTAACGGCATCCAGCCAGTCCTGTGTGTGACACTGCCAAATGCATTATCCCACTGATGATGAACACTGTTTATTTCCCAGTAAACTTGTGTCCCTGGCTGGGGCGTTGTTAGAATTATAGCGTGTATGGCTCTCTTGATAATGAATGGTTCTTATTGACCATGCCGACATTGTCTACTCGTCATTTAACAGTCATGTGCCCCTTATATGAACTGTAATAATCTATTGACAAGAATCTTGAATGACATGGGCCAAGCGGCATGTGAAAACGTAGTCAGACCTCCCCCTAGTGGCAGTTCCAACACACACACACAGCCACATCAGGAATACATGAGACATTTGTGGTAATGTTTAAGCCTTTTATGTGTTTTGTGGATCCTTTCAGGAGGGGAAAAAGAAATTCGATAAGGAAACAGAGAAATACTACTCCACGCTTGAGAGACACCTCAACTTATCATCCAAGAAGAAGGAAGCATATCTGCAGGAGGTAAAACCAAAGCAAATGTTCTGATCCTCTCAACATGTCTTTGAATAATGCGGTTTTATGGCTCAGTGTAAAAATAAAGCTGTTGTTTGTGCACCACTCTTGCACACCCTTCTCCTAGGTACATTAACTCTCTGTCCACACAGTGCTCTGCCAGTTTGACCCCCCGCCTTTGTGACGCCACTGACCCTGGTTTGTTTGCTATTTCTCAGGCTGACACGCAGATTGATAAGGAAAGACAACTCTTCTACGATGCGTCCCTTGAGTATGTTTTCAAAATCCAAGAAGTCCAAGAGAAGAAGAAATTTGAGTTTGTCGAGCCGGTAAGAATCAGTTTTACATATTTCTGTGCTCAGTTCATGCACATTTAAGATGCTGTAATTGCTTTGCTTTACTTAATATGTTGTTAAAAGCTTAGTTTAAGTGGCATCTAATTAAAAAAAGCACAGACTGTATTTACTGCTAATAGAAGTAGCTTTGAGAGATGTATCATTGTGCGTGTCTTTAAGAGTCTGTCGTCTCTTAAAGACACGCACAATGATACATCTCTCACAGGTATAATTATACGCTTGTGTATACTACTAATTTGTCATCTTTATCGCAAATTCTATGTGATATAAGTCAATCCATTTGTGGAAGGTAGTGCGTTAAATGAGATGAAGTGATTGTTGTGAAAAGCCTGTATAAAAACCCCCACCTAACAGATTTATGGAGTCAATTCTAACATCTTTAGCGTAAAAGTTACCAGGAAGCATTAAGTCCTGTAAGGTGTTAAATGTCTGGAAATGTGAGATGGGAGCAAGTGAATGTTATTTTGTTTACACCCACTGGCAGCTCACTCAGAGCTACAGCCAGAAATCTAAATCTGCCGGCCCCAGGTAGTTGGGGGGGGGGGGTTTTGTGCGGAAAATTACATCAATATCTGTCAGTCGTAAAGAGTAAGAACCTTCAAAAAAAGTTATTTTCTGGGGCAATATTCAGTGCAACGAGAAAAATGTATATTGGTTGGATTTATAGATGTTTAAAAAGAAGTGAATTCATTTTTGACTGGCAATGCAGTATGAACATCATTTTTAGTATTTTAAAAGAAAAGTAGATATCAATGTAACATTTATCTGAAAATGTGATTGAAAGCACAGAATTAAAGCAAATTATGTCGTTTTTACAGTATCATAATTCAAACCATGTTGGAAAAATAGAATACACTGGATTCCTGATGTTAAAGAGATTCTGAATGTGCGATAATAGTGATTATCAGCGTTTTTAGTGTTCAAAATGGAACATTTGATGTCGCAATGTTGCTTTTTAAAATGGCATTTCTCACTTCCTACAAATCACCCCCTATTATTGTTCCCTTTCCAGCTCCTGGCCTTCCTTCAGGGTCTGTTTACGTTCTACCATGAAGGATACGAGCTGGCTCACGAGTTTGAGCCGTACAAACAACAGCTCCAGTTCAACCTACAGAATGTAAGTCCCAGCAGCTCCAGGGTGGTACACAAAGGCAACCAGCCACGTAATCAGATTCTGCAGCTTATCATACCCCCATATAACAAGCAGAGTTTTTACAAATGGATAGCTGTGTGATTAAATGAGATTCTTTGCTGCAGGGAGGATCAATATTTTTCTAGTGTTGTATAGCGGGCGGTTACTGCTGGCCATTTAATGCTAGTGTGTCAAGAATTGGGAGTAAAACTCCAGCTGCCGCCATGCCCTCTCCTTCCATCACCATGACCTCACCACTTGCAGCCTCAGGGCTCAAATTTCTCTCTGACCTGAAATGTCAGCGCCATTGCCCTGACAATTTCCACTCGGTAACCCTCTCTCCATGTCCTCAGATGCAGAGGGCTCTAATAGGAGCTGCTGAAGGTGAAGCTGTCTCAGCACCGCTCTTGTAGTATCTAAGAAACAGCCTCATCCTGACCTTTTTAAAATCCAAAAAGAGAATTCCTGGAAGCATTAAGAACTGTCTCTCTGTCCTAATTTGCATCACCTCAAGTGTATCCCTGCAGTACAAATGTAGTGTTTTTGAATTAGATGCTGTCTGTATTTCCATAAAGTTTGCCAATGTGTTCTTTCCCCCAGGTGTTCTCGCGTCATTGCACAAATGTAAAGCATTTGTCAGATGTTTGACGTTTTTCCTCTATTTGTTTCAGCCTGACGTAGACAAAATGAAGCTATTCAGTATGAGATGAGAAATAGCAGGGGGAAAAAACAGTTACACAAGACTTCCTCTGTTAATGCAATTATAATCCAATCCTCTGTTTTCTGCGCAGACAAGAAACAACTTTGTGAGCACTAAGCAGGAAGTGGAGAAGCTGATGAAGAGGATAAGGTCTGCAGATCAGGACTATAAACCCCCCGGCCAGTGGACGATGGAAGGCTTCCTGTACGTCCAGGAGAAACGTGAGTCTTTCTTTCTGTTTTTTTCAAAATCTTTTTATTTATTGTTGTACTTTCAGCACATTAAACAAAGTACAGAACAATTTGTTTGTTAAAGGAAAGACAAATACCCATCCCCTATCCCTTACCCCCACCCCGTTAGGTCATGGTCACAGTAAATAGGAAACAATTAACACATACAAATAATAATAATAATAATACAAATAAATGAAATAATAAATACAATAAAAATACACAAAGTCACACAAAGTCACAAATAGCAGGAAAACAGCAAATTCACATTGAGTAAAATAATAGATAACTAAAAAAGAATTAAGACATGGGCGAACAATAAAGGATAAACAGAGTATTGTTCAACCTGAGTCTTTCTAACTAGACTCCCACCAAAGCCAACCCCCCCCCCCACCGTCCCCAGCCCACCCCACCCCACCCCACCTCACTTATAAGTGCATGGTTTTACATCATCCATCACCATAAACATGTCTTGAGTTTTCCCAGGCTTCTCTCACACAGAGCTCATAATTCATCCTGTTTACCGTTTCACTTTGATGTGCTCTCAAGTAAAGGGGGGGGTTTACTCAATGGTAGATTTTATCTGCGGTGATAAACATTTGATTTATCACACTTTAATTGCACATTGATTTTCAGGAGTCTTACCAGAAGTAATATTTTGGTCATGTGTCTGTCTCAGGTCCCCTGGGATGCACTTGGACTCGTCACTACTGCACGTATGAGAAAAGCAGCAAGAACTTCAGCATGAGCAGCAATGAAAATAAATCCGGCGGGAAACAGGTTATTTTAGCTTAGTTTATTTTTTCTGTTCATTTTAGTTACACATACAGATAACAAAAGAAAAGAGAAGCTAGTACAATCTGTGTGGATGAAACAAAGAACTCCCTTGAGCCTTATAAGACTCAACCCAGATGGGGGGAAAAGATGACAGGACTGCAACTTGAGAACAGAAATCGAAAGGCTTGTTAACTTAAAGCAGACAAAAATGCTTCAAGGATAACGACATTCACAAATAACAAGAGAGGGGAAGGAATGAAAATAACATTTTAACAGAGAGAAATTGTGTCTTGAACGTATTCATTACATTTACAAGCATTTGCTTATAAAGATTTGTAAAAACTTCATGAGACTTTATATAGATCCAATAATAAAGTTATAAAAAGTTGTTTATTTTGTGTATTAGATCAACCTCCTGCTACCGTCCTATACGTTTTGAGATTAACCGATAGGACGATTCATGTGTTTTTACTTATATGAACTTCAACGGAAAGTATTTGACATCATTTTTGTCATGTTTCCCTTTCATTTGTATTTAATAATGTCTTGTTTGTTTATTTTTAGAATGGTATGGTCGTGAACCAGCCGGAGATGTTTAAGCTCAAGTCCTGCATTCGGAGGAAAACGGACTCCATCGATAAGCGCTTCTGCTTTGATATCGAAGTGGTGGAGAGGTCTGTGATCTGAATCATCTATGTTTCCAAAAATGTCTTGCAACTTACCTTGACTGAAAACATGATCTTTAACACTAGTACCATCACCTCAAGCGTGTCAACATTTATTTTCCATGGTTAGTTAGAACAGTGGATTAGGAGAAAATGATTAGAAACAATTGAATATGCAAAGATCAGCATGGTATGATCTGTTCAATTTAAGCTTAATTAAAGGGGACCTATCATGCAAAATGCACTTTTGTACGTCTTTTATACATGCATATGTGTCCCCGGTGTTCCAGGGAACTCACCAAGTGTCAGAAAACACAACCCTCTCTATTTTCCTCCATACCCAAATCTCTAAAAAAGGGGCTGCAACGGATCTGATAAAAACTGATCCAGATTTGAACACTGTCCTGACGTCAGGACGGTGGCGCTACGGCTATTGGGCCAACTCCACCAATCAGGAGGAGACAGCCACGGCCATTGCCGTTCGAAAGCGCTGGAGACGCTGTAGTACATATGCCAGGCCTGTAGGTGGTGCTGTTCTCACAGAATCAGCCCTTGCAAAAACAGAGCTAAACATTTTCAAATTGAACGAAATGAGGCATGGCTATAATGCATGATCTGTTTGGTATTTTGAGAAAAAAATAAGTATAAATATGCCTTATATAGGTATGGTCCTACACTATATTATTATAATATAGCATGATAGGTCCACTTTAACCTTAGGTGAAACTGTATCATATTCTAGCTTCTGGTAATAATAATAGCTACCCTGCAATTGCTTTGGTTTTTATAATGTGTAAGTTAACAGTAAGAGAAATGTAAGGCTGCATACCTTTTTTGCTAGCATAGCAGATTGACCAACATGAAAACAGTGGTGATAAACAGACTGTTTGATTAATCAAAATGAAGATTAAGCAAGCGCATGTGGGATCTTTTTGTTCTCATGCATTTTGTGCCAGCCAACTGATACTGGCAATTAACCTGCATTATCCTGGGAGTACTCAGCACTTCAAGAGGCATGCAGGTCTGATTAACATCTTCAAAGAGTCCCTGTTTACCAGATGTTTTCAGCTCTGTTTGTCTCCTGCATGTTCCTCAAGTCCTCTCCCTCCCAAGATCTTTGTTTGTTTTATGTGTCCACGACTTCAATATTTACTCCTTTTTTTTGTTTTAACCCATTCCGTCTTTTCTCTGTGTTCGTGTCGATGTAGAAATGACATCTATCGTGGAACTCTTTTCAGGCCACTTCAGTTTTTCTGTAAAGTCCGGTATGTGAACTGACCAGTGCTGCCCTTTTTTCAGAGCAGTTGCATGTGCTGCATGTGTGCTGCTAATATCACCATTCACTCAAATCCAAACCTTCTAATGAAAAACTGCTGCCTTCTGAGTACTTCACAAAATCGCTTGCTCAATGTGGGCCTCAGGACACAAACACATTCATAAATGATTTCCACTTCACTGCAATTAATCAGATATTACATTGATTTATGTCATTCTGAGAATCAATTGATCATTTTGCCTCTTTTTAAACATTTTAATTAATGTGGCTGTATGGGAATATTTATAACTAATTTGTATTTATTGATGTACTGGGGAATAGGAATGGGATCTAACACGTTATAGTTAGCTTTCCACTGATGAGCAGTGGCGGAATTGATCAAGTCAGACGTAACGAGAGCTCGATATAAGCTCATTATTGTGGCGTGTTCTTCAGGATTATGGTGCTAGCTCATCACCGTGCATTATTGTTGCGCAGCACCAGCACGGCTCACCCTTGGCGAGTGTTGCTGAGCATGGACAATAACTGCAGTTTATTTGCAGGACAACTCATTTATCATAAACGGCCATGCCCCCAAGGTGATTGTTCCAACCACAAGGACAATGTGGGCCAAGCTCCAGTCAGCTTCAAGCTCATCCATTCATCCTCATTATAATAAACATGCTGTTACACCTATAGCCCCGCCAGATCCAGGCCAACAATCTCACAATCTCATTTTTAAAGGGTTCACGTAAGTTAATCAAGGGGTATTCAGCCATGCCAATGGTTTTATTTTATTAGACCAATGAATACAATTTAATTGACTAGCTCATTGTAATGAAAATAAAGTTATTTAATAAATTCCCAAGCAACATGTCTTTCTAGAAAGAGTATCCACAGTATTCCGGATAATCCACATATATTGGATTTTTCAGGAGGGGGACTTGGTCAATTTGATACAAAAATAATCTTTTTTTTTCATATTTGCTCAAACATTTACTATATCCTGCTGAAAGTAGTGCGTAAGATAGATAACATGAAATACATCCTGTTAAACCGTACCTCTCTAGGGCATCTACAATAACGAAATAAAAATGCAATTACTGTTCATGAACTCGCATTGAACTGTCAGACTAGGCGACACTGATTATAATCATCTATTATATCAATCAATCAATTATGAATCAAGATTCTGTTACTGCATTGCCTATTTTCTCACCTCAAATGATTTAAAATACAAATGCTGGTGACGTACTGTTTAGCTGTAAAATTAAAGTAAAGTTGAAACACTCATGCCAAACATCGCCCACCCGCTGGAGCTCACTTTCTCATTTGACAGTACACTGAAAACATCTGACTGAAGAAATAGCCAATGCAGTAACATGCACCTGATAATTATGTTTGATAAAAGCTGCCTAGTTTTCAAGTTGAACTTCTTTTGTGTTATTTTGTTTTTCTTTTATTGAATCGTGTAAACTCAAAATACAAGTATGATCATTCAAATGAAATTCCTTCCACCTCCATTGTTTTAGAGATATACATCCGAACTTGGTCAAATAAATCCCAAACCATCCACATGGTAGTATATCAATAGAAGTAACATTACAAATGTGGGCGTCTTTTGGTAATTCAGTTAATATAACCTGTTAATTGCAACACATTCAACTTGACATGGCTCAATGCTGATACTAACCATCACTACTGGATGGGCTTCGTCAGATATTGTTAAAGTTAGGTTACTACATCCTGTGAGATAACACTCAGAGAAGTTTCAGCGCTATACTGTATGTAGCACTTGAGGTGAGATATAAGACACTAGAGTAGACGCAGATAATCAGTAGCATGTTGGGTCCAAAAAAAAAAAAAAAAATCATTCTAATATCAAGCACATGTAGCATTTTAATTGGGAGTGGAATGTGATGCACCGAGCCAACCGAGGGCACAGTTTAAAGTCAAGCATTTGCACATGAGCTATTTTAGTCACACAAGTCCTTTTATAGTGGTCTCAGCCAATGTAAACAAGGTCTGTCCAGGGGGCCCCAAGGCAATGAGATCAGACTGAGAGCAGCTTTTCTCTGAAATCTTTCCAGGCATGGCGTGATGACTCTGCAGGCACAGTCAGAATCCAACAGAAGATTGTGGCTGGAGGCCATGGATGGCAAAGAGCCGGTGAGGAGCTCTGCCTGTTTGTCTTTCAAATATTCATTTTGGCCTGCCTGCTGTTTGGTCTAGGATTGGGGGGTTTTATTTGTTGGTTTTTCTACAGGAAATCAATACCAAATGTGAATTATGTGCCACTGGCACCCTCTTCTGGTGGGTTAAGGCAGTCTTTTTTGTTTGTTTTTAAGAAACCATGACCTCACCATCCACTTGCTAAAAATAGGAGAGTCCACTTAAAGCAAAGGACAACTGGGGGAACAAAACTCTTTGACATCATTATTTTCTTTCTGAGATGTTTCCCCTTAATTTAATAATTATGTGCTTGAAATGTCTCTAGATCTACAACCTGCCTGCCATATTAAGCAAAAAGGAAGAGAGTAAGTGTGTTATTTTTCCAATTCATCATCAAAATGCATACATTTAGCTTGCCAAGACTTGTAATAACATCCCAAACACATACATGTCTAACACATGCTTTGTTACCTATAGCTATCTCTGTTCATTAACACAATTACTTGACATACACCCACTCAGCTGACATAGCAGGGCCTTCCAGCACACGGATGTATCTTATTAGTCAGAGCACAAGCAGAGAGGAGAGCATGATATTCCTGCGTGTTGCGTGGTTAACCCAGGAGGTAATTGACGTGTCAACTCGATTCTCATGTTGTATTACAGCGTTTCTTAATGAGGCGGGCTTTAACTTCGTAAGGAAATGCATTGACCTGGTGGAGGATAGAGGTGAGGCATTTCAATCTCTCAGCTTTAATCCGTCAAATGACATAAGTGCAGCCTGACTGTGATTATGAATAACAATGTGTTTCATTCTTTGGTTGAAATAACACATTATACTGCCTCTTAAGCCTTAACTAAACATAGAATCTTTCCTTTTTTCCCCAATCCTTTAATTTACCCCCTGCCATACAGGAATAAATACAATGGGACTCTATAGGATTGGAGGGGTCAACTCCAAAGTGCAGAAGCTGATGACAACAGTGTTTTGTAAGTAGCCCCTAAAATAAGAGAATTGCAGCTGACATCTGTTATAAGTATTTGTCAAGCTTTGATTTAAAATGTCTTTCTTTGTTTAGTCATTCTATGTCTGTACATAAAGAATTAAATTATCAAAGATGGAATAAATACTTAGATTATTAACTTAAGTAAAAGTAGCAGTACTGCAGTGTAAAATACTCAGTTACAAGTAAAAGTCCTGCATTCAAAATGATACTTAAAGTATTTTGAATGCTAATATGTATTACTTTACTTAAGTACCAAAAGTAAAAGTACTCGTTCTGCAAAATAGCTATTTTAAGCACAATATATTTTCATATTTTATATCATAATCAATGATTTCATTATAATTATTGCTACATTTATGTGTTCATCAATAGTAGGTGATTTATATATTGTATTGATTGTCTACATTTGCAAAGTAACTAGTAACTAAATATGTAATATAAATGTAGTGTAGTAAAAAGTACATTTGCCTCCAAAATGTAGTGGAGTAAAAGTATAAAGTAGCAAAATGTGAACATACTCAAGTTATAATACAAGTACCTCAATTATTTACTTAAATAAAGTACTTGAGTAAATGTACTTAGTTACATAACACCACTGTAAATGATACTCACAAGCCATGTAGCAAAACTAACACAATAGATAACAGTTTAATTTTTTTTATTTGACCAATTATTCTTTATTTAGCTTGGTTTATGAACAGCCTATGTCCGACCACAAGTTGAATGGAGAGCTTAGTCAAACGTAATGTGACTGCAGAGTGAGGGAAGAGGTCCTCCTGGTGGTGTGACACTGTAACAGCCATCGGCCTCATAACACTCTGTCCATACCTTATTAGATGAGGCCAAGGTAATCCTACATTGAACAGGAAATGTCAGAATGATTTTTTTAAATACTCTCTCAAGCTTGATTTCTGTGTCACAACGCACTGCTGTCAGCATGTCACAGAGTTCAAAGCTTACTTGTTATGATGCTAATAAACAATAAAAAAAAATTGTTTCCAATAGCAACCAAGGCACCTGTTGATATGGAGCTGGATCCAGAGACGTGGGACAACAAAACGATCACCAGCGGCCTGAAGAACTACCTGAGGTCAGCGCGCCCCATCGGCTGCAGGAATCATCATTATCTCCATAATGCCTCTTTGAAACCTCCCTGTTGTTAATCATTCATTCTTTGCTGCGACTCACAAAGGAAGGTGGCTGCATTCAAAAGACCCGTGTCACTCAGGGAAATAAATGTCAACTCTTCTCTTTATTCACCAGGTGTCTCTGCGAGCCTCTAATGACCTTCAAGCTCCACAAAGACTTTATCTTGGCTGTCAGTAAGTTGTGAAAAGTTACTTCAATTGTCGGTTATAATGCTATATGTGTTTTACCGTTTATCATTGTATTATTATACATGAAGAGATATTCCTTGCTCAATTTAAATACATGCATTAATATGGTAATAATAATTAAATAATAATATCAAATCAATATTCTGTGCAATATATGTTACTGTGTACTGTTTTTCTGTTTTACTTTCTTGACTTCCCTGCTGTGGGCCTAATGAAGGATTATTGTATCTTATCCAACACTGCTAATGAGGAATTTACATACTGTGCTGTTATACATCAAGGAAAGGAAAATGATTAATTGTGCCAGAAGATATCCCACTTTAATTTGAAAATATGAAGATTTTAAATATATATTAACCAAGTGTATTTTCCTTGCATATTAAATATGTGTATATAACTTTTTAAAAGGGAATTAAGTTTGAACTGAACTGCATTTCAAGTGTATTAATTTACCCACCTCAGGGCTTACATGCAGGCCCTGAGGTTGGGAAACCAAATGAGCAAAGATTGAACCAATTAAACCGTCTCTGGAAATAACTACATGCCCTGTGCATCATACACTCTCAGAAAAAAGGGTACGAAAAAGACCTTAAAAAGGTACAAACGCTTGTCACTGGAGTGGTACCCTAAAGGTACAAAAAAAAGTACAAAAACTATGGGTACAAAGTTGTACCCTTGTACATTGTACCTTTGTATGTACCTCAAGGGTCAAATATGTACCTTTTACATAGGTACATATAAATGTACCTTCTGAAATGGTACAAATGTGTCTCTTTAGGGTACCACCCCAGTGACAAAGCTATTTGTACCTTTCAGGTACACATTTGTCCCTTTATTGTACCTTTAAAAGTGAGCATAGGTTTTTGTAAGACAAAACAGGCAAAGATCAGAATATTTTAGTTTAATCTCATTTAATCAATATCAAAACACGTTATCCCTCACATCACTCCCATCAGAAAGTCAGCACATAATATAAATGGCAACTTGCATGCTACAACAATAATCAATAAAAGCATCAATTCATTTCCTACGACCGCTGAAAAATGAAAATACATTTTCAAATATTCACCCATCAATATAGAAAAGCTTCACAATACTTTTGATATACTGATGACCAACAACCCGTCATCCACAGTATATATCAATGGGTGAAACATTCACCAATACAATGAAACACATTTTCATAAATACAGCAATCTATCAAAGCTTCACAATTCTCATTAGTTTGAAATATTCACCAACAATTTGTAATCCACTGCATAGCTATATAAAGATGTGAAAATATGACCAATCGGTGTCATACTGGTCACCCAGTCAGTCACCCAGTCTGAGTCAGTCAGTGAGTCACCCACTCGGTCAGTCACAATATTACTTGGAAATATTCACCAACAATTTGTCATCCACTGCATAGCTATATAAAGATGTGAAAATATGACCAATCGGTGTCATACTGGTCACCCAGTCAGTCACCCAGTCTGAGTCAGTCAGTGAGTCACCCAGTCGGTCAGTGAGTCACCCAGTCTGAGTCAGTCAGTGAGTCACCCAGTCGGTCAGTCACAATATTACTTGGAAATATTCACCAACAATTTGTCATCCACGGCAGGGGTTCCCAACCCTTATTGTGCCAAGGACCGGTAGATACATTAAAAAAAAATCGCGGACCGGTTGTCAATTTTAACTGATTTTAATATTTACTCACCACCAGCAGGTAGCAACAGAGGCTAATTGTATGTAACAGCCTGAACAAATACTAGAACAATATGCATCCAAAACATATTAACAAAGTTTAAAAAATAACCAGTGTTGTTTTTTGGTTTTTCGGAAAACCAAAAAACCGACGTTATTCAGTTTTTAACCAAAACAGATAAATCAACGTTTTGGTTTTGTTTGTATGATTTACGGATAATCCAGTGAATGCTGGGAAAAGGAGGAGAAGGCGCGTGTGTGTGTGTGTGTGTGTGTGTGTGTGTGTGTGTGTGTGTGTGTGTGTGTGTGTGTGTGTGTGTGTGTGTGTGTGTGTGTGTGTGTGTGTGTGTGTGTGTGTGTGTGTGTGTGTGTGTGTGTGTGTGTGTGTGTGTGTGTGTGTGTGTGTGTGTGTGTGTGTGTGTGTGTGTGTGTGTGTGTGTGTGTGTGTGTGTGTGTGTGTGTGTGTGTGTGTGTGTGTGTGTGTGTGTGTGTGTGTGTGTGTGTGTGTGTGTGTGGGTGTGTGTGTGTGTGTGTGTGTGTGTGTGTGTGTGTGTGTGTGTGTGGACTACATCGAGATTAAGATTAAACTAATTTATTTTGGGAACAGCCGCATATATGCCGGTGTCGGACACATCATGCGCCTTGGTGACTGACTGGACATCTCCTTCATAAAACTAATAAAAGGGGGAGTAATCGGGCAGTTCGATGTGTGTGTGGTTAACACGTAGCAGCCTGCAGTCACTCTTAAACTGTTCTGATTAAGTTAAACACAGCGAAGGCGGTGCGTAAAAAGGCACAGCTCTTTACCGAGTATACGTCCCGCTGCCTCCTGATGTTGCAGCCATTTCATGAAGTGAAGGAGGGTTTCCTTCTATAAAACAGCTGCGGGCAGCAGATCGTGAGAGTCCCGGACATTAATTCATAGATCAAGGCAGACTGGTTTACTCTCCTGTTTTGCCAATCCGGTGCTTAAACAAATAGCTCTACACCCCTGGCCGACATGTCCTTAAAATGAAGTCCGAGTTTGAAATATATCTCAAATAATGTGTGCACCACCATTTCCCCACATAAACATAACAGTCTGCAATCAAACGGTTGTCTCCTGTGCGCTCCTCTTCCTACTTGGCGCACCGGTAACATGCTCGTGCGCACAAGAGGCTGAGACCTTAGGCTGAGCCGCCGAATCCCTCGGAACATCATAAAAGCCATTTTCAACGGTTTTCTGGTGAAAGATTAACTAGCTACTGGATGAAATAATATGACTGGTGGCATAGGTGCGAAAATTATATATGATAAAATATTTTTATATATTTATAATTCTGCAAATATTACGATAAACTCACAGCTATTTTGCGGCCCGGCAGTAACACCTCCGCGGCCCGGTACCGGTCCGCGGACCGGGGGTTGGGAACCCCTGATCCACGGTATAGCTATCAAGAGGTGAAAAATGGATCTCTTGGCCTGGCAGAAAACATGACCAATCAGTGTCATACTGGACTTGGTATGCATGGAAATGTTTAAGATATGATACTGGAATCAGCTTATGTACACTTATGTACCTTTTCCGCAATACATATTTCATGCTTACCTTTTACTTGAAAAAGGTACTTATTAGTACCATACAGGAGCACGATTGTACCTTTAAGGGTACATTTGTATCTTTTGTACCTTAAAGAACAAAAATGTACCTGTACTGTACCTTTATTTCTGACAGTGTATAGCCCTTGTGTCATGTTAAATTAATAAGTTAAATTGGTTTAATCTCCACTCAACTACTTTTTTTCACCTCTGCATAAAGTGTCTCAAGTTGAATGTCAATTTTACAAACTAAATTTGACGTTTTAACCACATCTTCAAGTTGATATTTGTTCTATTTAAATTCCTAAAATTCCAGCTCTATGCGATCAAATCTATTGTTAAAATGGAAACATAGCTGCATCGAGATTAACAGGACTATTTTCATCATATTTACGACATTATAATGTTCTGTTACCCTGACCACAGTCACGCCAATAAGATCTTTATTGTCACCATTCTAAAAGTCAATGATGTGACCTAATCGTCATGTTTTTCTGTTGGTACATGAGGCTATTGGTCATTTAATATCCATTTGCCTCTCCTCAGAGTCAGATGACCAGAACTACAGGGTGTGTGCCGTCCATGCTTTGGTTCATAAGCTGCCCGAGAGGAACAAGGAAATGCTGGAGCTGCTAATAAAACACCTCGTCACGTACGTATTCCTGTAATGAATCAGTTACACTGCAGCCCTTTTGAGAGAAGATACAAATTGCTGAGACTGATTAAATTGTCTTCACAGGTCTAAAACAGTTTATAGCTTGTAAAGTACATCCCCTTACCACAAGGTTAACTATCAGTAGAGAACAGCATCTTACCCTTATTAACGCACATGTACCTCCACCTGCAGAGTTTCCGCTCAAAGCCAGTTCAACCTGATGACGGTTTCTAACCTGGGTGTCATCTTTGGGCCCACCCTGATGCGCTCCCAAGAGGAAACCGTGGCTGCCATGATGAACATCAAGTTTCAGAACATTGTGATGGAAATACTTATCGAGAACTTCAACAAGGCGAGTCATTGTTTTGCTGTAAATGTAAAGTATACTTGAAGTTTTACCTGCATAATTTATCCAATTTCTTGAACATCTTACTTTAAAGGTCCCCTATTATACTGATTTTCATCAATATATTATTGGTCTCAGATATATACAAAACATGTCTCTGAAGTATTTGGCTCGAAATACCAAACAGATCGTGCATTGTAGCATCCCATAACCCCCTCTGTTTCAGCCCTGTTTCAAAAGTGCTGATTCTGTGTCTGTTACTTTAGATGAAAATAAGGAGCCACTCCCCACACCTCTCTGAGAGATATTTGGTTAAAAAGAACACAATAGGCGCGTAAACACCGGAGTACTTTTACCCATACTTTTCCCGTTTAGTTCCGATAGTGCCTGGAATTTTGCGTTCACACCAAAAAGAGTACTTAGATCCGAGAACTTTTACCCCCATTTTTAGTGCCTGCTAGAGAGGTGGTACTATCCTGGGGAGAAAAAAGTACCAATTTCGATTGGCTGGGCGAATTGCAAACCACGCCCCGTAAAACTCTGAAAAGTTTTGTGAAGCCGCCATTGTATTTGCTGGCATTAGCATTATTAGCGGGAGTCCCAGCAGCTTCTACTGAAGCCAGTCCCCAACTCCGGGGACTTCCGGCCGGGGACTTCGGGTGGCAGTATACGCCGTGAAGTGGTTTGCGGCCTGCCAGTAAACCCAAAGCAGAAGAAGAAGAAGAAGTGACGTCAGCGGCTTCATTTGCGTAATCTTCCCTCAGGGAACTTATTCCGGTGTGAACGCAATCTGTACTTAGTTCCATGGGGGTACTAAGTGCTGGCACTAAGTGCTGGGCACTAAGTACGGCAAAGTACTTGGTGTGAAAGCGGCTATTGGTGCTCTAGGAGGAGATTCAGGTGATAAGGTGGGCGGGTGTTTCCTTGGTTGGTTATTGGCTAATGGTTACACAACCCAAAAAAACCTTATGACATCATAAAGTGGCCAAAATCTGATCAGCTCTTTTTCATACAGGTTTTTATATAAATGGGTCAGGACAAAAAGAGAGGGGGTCTTTTTTCCTGAAACTTTCGGAATCTCTTAACGCAGAGGGGAGACAAATGTATGAATAAAATACAAAAGTGGATTTTGCATAATAGGTGACCTTTAAAGTTGCATTCCTAGTTGGTTTCACCTGACACTAAATGTGGTTGAATACTAAATGTGGTTGAATACTGTTCCCAACATTGTCATTCTAACAAAGAGGTCAGGCAATAACTGGCCTGTTTCCATCATGCTGTGAGAACCGGTGATCTGACTTAATGCTGCACGCAGCATGAGTCTGCGAGCAGTGAGAGGAGGTTGAGAAGAACCACATGAGAAGTTGAAGGTGTGAAGCCTCTCGCCTGCAGCTCTTCATCTGACGGCTCCCACTGCTACTGACTTTCCATTATTCCCTGCACTATTTTAAACCGCTTTTAAATAACTGTTGAAAATGAACGTTGTCTTGTAGCCGTAGTGATAACGGTGAGTGTTAGCTTCATTATAAAGTTGACTCATGTTTCAGCAGGCAAATCCTTTTATTTGACGCTGTGTGAAATTTGTTCTGGTTGTCTTAATACCACATTCTTTTCCGTGAATGTCTCCACAGAAACCCAATTCATACACTGGAAATACTTTGATCATTGGGCCCTATAGGTGCATTGTGATTCCCAATTTAGCAATAGATAGTTACTCAAAAGAAAAGTTTTCTTAATTGGAAATCTTTTAGAATATTGCTTTAAAAGTATTTTATTGCAAAACCCTGCTCTTACTCTTCCTTTACAAACACTTTTACTCCATTCTTATCGATACTGAGTAGAAAGAGTATTAAAATATTGGTCACAATCTTCAAAATCAAATGCAGTACCAGTCCTCATTAGTAAAGAAGACACAGATTGTGTAGTTCACTAACTAATCAGTGCTCCTTCTGGACCTCCAGATCTTCCACCAGCCTCCGGACCCCAACGTGCCCCTGCCCCAGCCCCAGAGCCGGCCGGGCCCTCGCAGGAGCCGGGCCATCTGTCTGTCCACGGGGCCCCGGAAGCCCCGCAGCCTCTACACCCCGACACTGTGCCTGGCAGATGCAGAAAGTGAGTCTCAAAGTAATGGTTTCCACCACAGGTCATCACACCGTTATTTCCTAACTGGTAGCCTGTATTATTGCTCACACACCTGCGGACACATATTTATGAAAGATGCACCTCATTTAAGCTGGGTTTTCAAATACTAAATTCCAGATTAGTACTATCTCTTCAGAGAAAAGCATATTGTAGCTAACAATTTTTTTCATTATCATTCAATCTGTTTACTATTGTATTGACTAGTCGGTAAGAGGTATGACTTAAAGGTCTTTTATATAACAACCTGTCTGAAAATGAGCTGATCAGATTTTGGCCACTTTGTGATGTCATAACGATGTTTTGGCTTCTGTAACCGTTAGCCAATCACCAACCAAGGTAACCCCCCCCCCCCACCCCCCCACCCCCCCCCCACCCCCCCCCACCTTATCACCTGAATCTCCTCCCAGAGCACCATTGTGTTATTTTTAACCAAATATCTCTCAGAGGGGCGTGGGCAGTGGCGCCTTATTTTCATCTAATGTAACAGCACTTTTGAAACAGGGCTGAAACAGAGGGGTTTATGGGATGCTACAATGATCTGTTTGGTATTTCGAGCCAAACATTTCAGAGACATGTTTTCTATATATCTGAGACCTATATGAAAAACAGCATATTAGGAGACCTTTAAGATGCTGAAAGCATGTATTAATTTTTGGACGGACTCTATAATTTACAGTTTTTTACTATGTAAAATCTGAATTTTCTTTAAAAATAAAAAACATCTATATTGATTCTGACTTTTCTACATCCAACTCAAAGGTTTATCATTACTTTGAGAAAAAAGATTATTCATTTTCCCCTTTTAGAAGTGTAGTTATGGTCATTTGTTCTGGAAATGTCATTTTCGAGCCTGAGACCTGAAAAACAGGGATGGGGTTCAACAGGTTAAAGATATAATATATAATATATTTTTTTATCCGCCATAACATATCCACAATTAATTCCCGGCTTAGTAGGTTTTAATGATGGCTGTGTGGGCCTCTTCTCTGGCCCCTGCATAGGTGACACTTTCAGCAGCAGTCCAAGCAGCACCCCCATGGGCAGCATGGAGTCTTTGTCCTCTCACTCCTCGGAGCAGAACAGCTCCTCCAAGACCGCTTCTTCGGCTCAGGCCAAAGACAAGTCTCTGCTGGACCTGCGCAGAACGCCATCGCTGCTCTCTAACGGCCCCAGGAGCGCCATGTGGGTCAGCAGCCCCGAGTCCAGTTCCAGGGAGGAGGGGGGGCGGACAGACGGAGAGTCAGAGGACGCTCTCAGCCTGTCCTCCATCAGCATCGCACCCAGGCTGTCCCCTGCTCCCAAAAAAGCCCCGCACTGCCGCATTGACCTCAAGCCAGCCCTGCTGAACCGCTCTGCCGGCCCCTCTCTGAAATCACTGCATATCGCTAAAGGTAGGACGGCCATCAGGTGATCACAGTTTAAAGGTCACCTATTATGCAAAATCCACTTTTTCATGTCTTTTATACATACATACATGTGTCCCCTCTGTGTAAAGAGATTCTGAAAGTTTCAGGAAAAAAGATTCGCTCACTTTTTGTCCTGATCCATTTATATAAAAACCTGTCTGAAAATGAGCTGATCAGATTTTGATGATGTCACAACCAGGGCCGTCCCTCCCTAGAGCCCGATCACGCAGATTGCGTGGGGCCTCACCTTGCGGAGGGGGCCTCACCTCGTGGAGGGGACCTCATCTTGCGGAGGGAGCCTCAACTGAGCCGCACCTATGCGCTTATGTCGACGCTCGCGAAACAGAGGGCCTCATCATATAACTTTGCGTGGGGCCTCATGTTGGCCAGGGACGGCCCTGGTCACAACGATTTGTTGGCTTGTGTAACCATTAGCCAATAACCAACCAAGGTAACACCCCCCACCTTATCACCTGAATCTCCTCCTAGACCCTAGAGCACCATTGTGTTATTTTTAACCAAATATCTCGCAGAGGGGCGTGGGGAGTGGCTCCTTATTTTCATCTAAAGTAACAGACAGAGAATCAGCACTTTTGAAACAGGGCTGAAACAGAGGGGGTTATGGGATGCTACAATGGGTGATCTGTTTGGTATTTCGAGGCAAACACTTCAGAGACATGTTTTGTATATATCTGAGACCTATAATATATTGATGAAAAACAGTATAATAGGGGACCTTTAAGCTTGTCTGACAGTAGTTTATAGATTGTGTTTCCCTTGCAGTGATAAAGTGGAAAACAACCTCCTCAAAACTGTCATTTCCAAGACTCTAATCTATACAGCAGATACTTATATCGTCATAAATTATTCCTCTAGGACTTAATACTTTCAAACACTGACAACACCCCTTCTTGACTCAAGCATTATTTAAACAGCAGTGGGACAATTGTATTTTAATCACTCATTTCAGTTGCTCTGTGCAGTATGTGAGCTGTTTAATTATTAAACGTTAATGTCTTTGTGTCATGTACTTGATATTTGTTGTTCGTCTCCCTCAAGGCCACAGGAGCTGCTCTGGATCCGTCCAAAGTCTGTCCACACTGGAGCCCAACGACACTTCAAAGCCCACCGAGCACCCGGACCTCCCCCCAAAACTAGTGATGCGCTGCAGGCTGGACACCTCAGTCGGCAACGGCTACCAGAGACCTGGCTCAGTGTAATGGATTTCAAAGAGCTTATCATTGTGCTTATTTAACCTACTATTCCTTACGAATTATGATATCCACTCCAGTGTAATGCCGTTGGTAAAAATCTTATCTTGTGGACTCACCTAAAACTAGTGCAGCAGCTAGTTGAAAAAAACTATTTGCCTATTGGCACGGTATTCTGATAATTGGTTAACAGTTGCTATTTAGGTTGCAACTAACGATTCTGTTCCTTGTTTACTTCCTAGATAAATCGTTTGGATTATAAAAAGTCACAAAATAGTGAACAATATAAATCTCCAGTATCTTAAAGTCCAAGGGGGTGTCTTTAAATATCTTGTTTTGTCAGTCCAAAAGATAAAGATATTCAGTTTAATATGATATACAAAAAAAGTAGGATATCTCCAAATGTGAAATTGCTCAAAACAACATTTTTGGTAATTCTTGCCAAAGAAATGACTACTATTTGCTGCAGCTTATCCATAAAGCAAAAAGGCCAAAACGTTATGTTCCCAAGCTCTCAATGTGACGAATTGCTGCTTTTCCTTTGATTCATATCATTCTAAATCTAATAAAATAAGTGTTTGACTGTTGGTCGGAGAAAACAAGGGATATAAAGCGGTTCTCCTGGCTCTAGTCGAATGTAATGTTTAGTCTTTCCCCACTTCCTGGGCAGGAGTGGACAAAATTATTAATTGATTATTAAAAAAACAAAATAACAAAAAATAGTCCTTAGTTGCCGACCTCTGATTTAATGGATATATTGTATATATAAGGTCTGTTTGTACGTGTGCAGTTTCATGTGCCCCCACAAAGTAACTGCTAGTCAATAAGACATGAGGACAATAGTTCAGCAACATTTCTCTCCATCTTCCTCCCCCTTTCCATGTCTCCCCTGTGAGTCATCAGCCTCCTACTCCTCCGTGTGTTTATGAGCATCGAGCATCGAGAGGTCTCTGAGATCAGATGAGCATGTGAGAGCAGATTTATGTCTTTCCTCTGTGGTGGGAGCGCTGCCTTTAATTACGCTCTGCCTGCTCCTGGGTTGATGTGACCCAGCAGCAGTCTGCACTCGTTCTCCCGGGACAAATAGATTGTTTGACTTGCGCAGTCTGAAAAGCCAGTCACGCAGTCTCTCTAATCATTTCCTTGCGTCGCACCCTCCCAGCTGGCCCCGGGCTCCATTGTCCCCTTGACTGCCAGGTTGTTGTGAGCGGGGTCAAGTGCAGCCTTGTTATATAGTTTAACTCAATCCAGCACTGTGTTGCCCGGAGGAAGGAAACCTCCTGAATTGTGTCATTAAGCATTTTACCACGTTCTAAACAATGAGAAATGCTGGAAAGTGGAAAGACTCGTATTAGATTGAATTTCTCTCTGGTGGCAGCTTTGCTGATTTTATAGTCATGATTTATTAAAACTGATTATTACTCTGATCATGTGATTACAGGCAGTGGTGGAAGAAGTACTTTACTTCAGTGAAAGTAGAAATACTTTGGTCGGAAAATACATCATTACAAGTGAAAGTCCTGATTTCAAAATGTTACTTAAGTAGAAGTATAGAAGTATTGCCAGCTAAATGTACCTTTAAGTACCAAAGTTAAAGTACTCATTATGCACCATGGCTGTTTTGAAAGTATTATAATACTATAGAATATTAAATGATCCCTTCTTTTAATTGCTTACAAATACATATTAAGACCATTTCCGATTTTGTATATCTATATTGGTGTTAACGTACTGCATTATATCATATACCATTGTCATATGTTGTATATTGTATATTTAAACAGTAGCTGGAAACTATTAGTTTTAAATAAATGTAGTGGGGTAAAATAAATGTTCCAAAATGTAAGGGAGTAAAAGTATAAAGTAGCATTAAATGGAAGTACAAGTATGACTAATAGTACTTAAGTACAGTATTTAGTTACTTCCCACCACTGATTACATGGCATATTTAGTGTGAATGCTGTGCCACAGCATTCTACTATAGTTCTTCAAATCTTTATTCTTATTTCAGCCAATACTTTGGCTCTCCATAACTTCAGCTTACTTTCAGCTACAGAAACCATTCAAATATTAAACTATTCAGCCTTTTCAGGAATCGATGGAAAACCTTCAACCTTTTAAAAATATGTTATACTTTTTGAAATATTCAGCTTTTTAAACTCTTTTTTTTAACATGGAAGTCAATGGGAGGAGCCTTCAAATCCTCTTTTCCTACACCTTGCGCCAAATGCTTCTCCTTCCACATACTTTCAGCTAGACACTTCATTCCAACTTTCAAATGATCACAAGACCATCAGCTATACTATACTAACTGTTCTTCAGATTTTTGATATCTTTTACACTTTTTGAGATATTTAACTTTGTTTGGAGCTTGGTAGAGAGGCCTTTTTCAGATTTTAACATTAGTGTGGATGGAGCAGCTCGTTAAGTCTAGAGTGCTTTGATCTCAAAATAGAGTGCAGGAGTGCTTGAAATTCTCCACAAAAAATGTTTTAAACTTGCCATAATTCCCAAACCCTACACTCCTCAGACATATTTTTTCATGAAAAACGTAGGAAAACCTCTCCTAGGTTGGAAAATAAAAAAAAATTAAGAAGAAATATTAAACAAAATGCCTCTTGAGGGCATGATGAGACAAAAAGTCCAGCTAGCTCCCAATTGATTCCCATGTTAAATTTGTCCGGATCTTTCTTCAGAGCAGAGAGAAGTACACTTTAGACAAACTGCTCCCATCTCCACATTTTACACACAAAACCAAAAAAACAAACATATATCAGTTCATTGGGGTTCCCTGATGCTCACGGTCTGGTAATTTTTTGATAGGAGCCATAGTTTTTGAACAGGTGGCAAAATTGTCAGATATAATCCTCAATGCATTCTTAATGGGACTCAGTGCTGCAGTTGATAAATCGTCATAAGTCGTCACCATGGTAACCTTTGATCTCTGGGTTTACACACACAGGTGTTTGTAAACATTCATTCACTACTACTTACATTTAATATCTTTGTTTAACTCCTTCAGCCTAATTTCAGCTGCAGGAACCATTCAAATACATGATGGGAAACTTTCAACTTTTTCAAAATATGTTATACTTTTTAAAATATTCAGCTTTTTAAAGTCTTTTTTTAACATGGAAGTCATTGCAATGCATTTGAACTGTAACAATTTTGATTCAAATAATTTCACTTTTCTGCATTTCTCTGCTAAGTTCAGCAACACACTTACTTGGTTTTTGTAGCAGCTACCATTCAGCTAATAAAATATTCAGCTTTTTCTGCATTTTCAGCTAAATTCAGCCACAAATGTTCACAGTTTACAGCATTCACACGCATTTTCTGCAGGAAATGCATTTTCTAGTTATCTCTGGATATCATTTCAGCTGTTTACTTTATCCAAAATACAGTCGAGTGGACTGAACTTGTTTTTCTTCTTGTTTCAGGGTGGCTGCCAGAGCACTGCTGTTTGAAAATGCCTCTTCCCCACAGTCTGTTCCAGTGGGAAGGTGCAGTAAAAACATCACATTTTCTCTAACAGCTCTACCAAATCAATCACACTCCCATCATGTCAAATGTGCCATTTCATTGCCTTGTTTTGTCGTCTTTACAGGGACGCCAAGGCGATGTATTCCTGTGAGGCAGAGCACAGCCACGAGCTCAGCTTCCCCCAGGGGGCGCACTTCTCAAACGGTGAGCGCTGCCATTAAGGGGCAAACATTAAATGCTTAAGCTGACAGAAGGGCTTACAGCGTCCTTGCATAGGCTGATATGACACTTGGACAGTGTAAACACACACAGACTGTTGTCTGCTGGCAACACACAGCACAGGCTTGGCTAATTCCCAGTATTATGTGGAGGCACACAATCACTTTGTCCTAATGTTAAACCCTTATCTGCAGCACTTAAGTATAAACAGCCTGAATGTTTTTTTGTATTGCTTCTTGCCTTTTCCATGATGAGATGACTTGGCCCACAACCAGTGCAGCAGGTCACTGTAACCTCGTGATGGAAGGCACCAGCGCCTGTTCCTGTTAGCAGAGCCAGCAGCCAAACGCACAAACGTCAAAAAATACTCCCCTCCACTTACCAGCAGACAGAGTGCTTTTACTGCTCACCACATTAACAGGCCAGGTTTCTCTACACTCTTATAGAGCATATCCCTGCTTGATTATCTAAGCAGATCCATTTTTTTAAATGTTGCTGCATCTGTTAATGACTAACCTTGTTGTGTTTTATGGCTATATGTGTGTGATTAAGCAAGGAGATTCTGCCTTCAAGTGTGCTGAAATACTCCGCAGCGACTGAATCTAAAGAACAGTCTGACCCTGAGTCTTCTCACTCTGATTTAAATGTTTATTTTGTATGCCTAATAGCATTTTTCCCCAAGACTAGGAAATTGTGAAACCAAATACAGAATGTTAAAAGACTATTTCTCGCTTCCCTTTGCTTTAACTCTTTTCTTTCTTTTTGTCCTGTAGTGTATGCCTCTATTGAACCAGGCTGGCTCCAAGCAACATACGAGGGGAGAACAGGATTAATCCCTGAGAATTATGTCGTCTTCCTCTAACAAAGTCGGTAAACATGGCATCTTTTTCATGGTATCCATGAAAAACACAACACACAAAGTGGCAGATTTTCTTTTAATGTTGCTAATATTGCTGGTACTGACATTTCTGCATGTTATGCAGTCTAAGCAGATATCAAGCCAAGCAGTTCTTTAACATTTCAAACATGTACCTCTTTTTACTGTAATAACTTTATTGTGAAATGATTGGGGAATCCACAGAGATTCAGAAGTTAAGAAGAAATTGACATTATTGTAAAATGAAAATATATTACCCATCGACTGCACTGATGTTTTTAGTCCCAGTATTATCCAACAGAATCACAAAACAATCACGACTAATTTCACAAGTTTTATTCTCAGAAATATATTATATTTTACTTTGTCATTTATATCGACAGCACACTTTCTTTTAATCAAGCTTTTAATGGAAATCTGTAGTTTATTAAACATTTTCTGATAGCTGTAATTAAACAAACTGTGATTTAAAGTAATGATACAAATCTAATCTATTAGAGTCTAATAGAAAAAGCATTATGGGTTGCACCTTAACTGTCATGTTTATTGCCTGTGATCATTGTTCATCCACTGAACCTGCTCACTGCTGCAGTGCACTTTCTGTTAGCCACACGGTACTGTACTGTACAGTAATGCTCATGAGCTCTTTAGTAACTGCTAACCAGAAATATGTACTTTGTGTTTTTCTTACTATAAGTTATCACATCAATATATATGCCGTATGTAAAAATGTGTTTTTTATAATGTCATGAAGGTGGAGCTTTTAGCTTGAATGCCTTAATGTGGTACTGCTTACTGGTACGCTGTGTACTAGTAATGACAACTAGACATGTATCAGATTATAATATGTTAAAGATACCATTTAATATTGAATGTTCTATTACTGTCACAACCGTTTCAAAGTCCATAATTATCAAAGCTTCTGTGATACTTTGTCAGAAAGAAGAAGATAAAAGAAAATATAGACAACATAACTTCTACAATTAATACAAACTGAAAAATGATACCAAAGTAAGACCCCTGTGGTGACCGTAATGTTTTTTTTGAGATCCCGTGCTTGCCAAGATCAGGATGTTCTTTTCCATTTTCAACTTCAAGAATGCGAGGTGGCCTTGAACATTCATGCTGGAATAATACTCCCTTACAGTCTGAATTTGCAGGGGAAATTATATTCATATCCTTAATATGTAACGTGCGACACCCTTCTTTTTGTATGGCAAGCTTGTTTCCTTGCAATCATCTACTGTTCTTGACGGTGCATAAACATGTCTTTAAATAAACAGCGTGATTTATTCAAACTTTTGTCAACTTCTTTGTCACAGTTAACTTCTCACTGCAGTCAGAAAACCTTAATTACAACATGTACAACAGGATGAATAGTGAGAATGGATTGTTAGTGTGTCGACTGTTGGAGGCACACTAACACAACACTTGTGTCTTTATGCACCAACTATAGGGGGATGTTTTTCAATTAAAAGAGCTACAACTAGACTAGAGTATGTCCTAGTATGAAATACTTTCATTCCTATCCAAAGCTATATCAAAATATGTTTGCATTTCTATTATCCCCGCCAGGGAAGTTAGATTCAACATTTCTTTTCATTTTTTGTTAACTACAGCTCCAAAACAAAAGTCAGTATTTAGTTTAGAGTAAGAGCATGTGCCAAGGAGACAGTGACCAGTTGTTTTTATGCTGAGTCAGAAAAGTATTTCATTGTGACATTGTGAATTGAATGTATTAACGTACTGCGATCATTTCAAATGTGGCACACTTCTCCAATTGTCTGAATGTCTTTAATGAAGACATTTTTAGAATAAGTAACTGTATGAAAATAACACACTAAGGGCAAAAAGCCTTTGCGAAAATGTCCTCGTAGTTTTTATTTTTAACCCACTCAAGATCACAGTAAGTATATTATTTCTTATCAAATATTTTACTGATAGTTATCTTCCATGTTCTCCTCCCCTGAAGTAGTTGCAGTGAGTCACTCTAAAATGATTTCATTAATTAAGTGTCTTTGTTTACTGCATTTACTTTCACTAAGAATATAATCATGGTGAGAACATTGAATTGTAAACTTGTATTATTTTGTTTCTCTTTTGCAGCTTCAGTACAAACATCAGTATCTCTAATGGTTCTCAAAACCATTCATGCCTCTGAATTCATATGTTTCAAATAGATTATATTCAATATACTTAAAAGCATGTGGAAAGAACTCTGTTGCCCTTATAAAGTAAAAAGGCTGAAGTACTGACGGTCTTTACAAAGAATTCAGTAATCGTGTGATGAATAACCCCCTCACAAGATGTCTCCGCAGATTTGCGACGTGTTTGCTGGCATCTTCACTTGGAGTGGAAGGTGAGGGACCTCACCATGCCTGCCAGGACCTTGGGAAGCTGGGAGGCGATCACCTCCGTCATCATCTCTGGAAACTCCACTTTCATAGCGTCCGCCTGGATGAAGGTGCTCAGACAGAACAGGTTGACCTTTTTCACTATCTGTCAGGAGAGAGACATGCATGTTTGTCTTGGTGCTCATTAGGACAGCAGTTAGATAAAGACATGAATCAATGCTCAGATATGTAGAGGGCTTACATCATGCATGGCGTCCATCAGCTTGGTGAGGTGGTAGAACCTCTGGGAGCTGGCCACCAGGCCCTTCTCCCTCAAGTGTATCGCCTTCGTCAGCTCCCGGATGTAGTTCTGTCTCATGTCTTCAAACACTGCCTGGCTTTTGAGTCCCTCCAGAGGCACTGAGAACAGATGGGACAAATATAAATAGAATTAAAAAAATTCTCTAAAACAGATGTTTCCTAAGGGGGAGCAGTCCGTTGCAGGGTAGGACAAGGGAATGGAAATCAAACTAAATGTCTTTAGTTGTTTAAAGATCAAAATATAATAGCATAAATGTGTGTTTTTTGGTTTGATATATTCGTAAGATACAGTAGATTTGGGGATGTCTGCTATTTTCCCACTTTCCCAGTCAGAAACTAATAAATGCTTTAGGACAGACGTGTTTTATGTACTTGGTATTTTACTCTAAAAGCATGTCAAACCATCGTAGTGGGTTATTTCTGCTCAATTCCTCTAAAGCCTCTAAAGCAGGGCAATTTTTTCAACATCCTCCGAGGGCCGTACAAATTATTGTCCTCTGCTTAAAAATACTAAAATCACAGCCCATTCATTTGGCCTTTCTTTCATGCTGTGCAAAAAAAAAGCAACCTCTTAATCCAGATATCTTACCATGACTCGCGTATGCATGCACGTGCACGGTTGTGGCATGACCACCAAAACAGAAAGATATGGACACAAGATGTGTGCAAATGTATTTAGTTTCCTATCCATGTGAACATGATTTAAGTGGGGGGGGGACCTAACCTCCTCTAGGGGGGACCGGGGGCATGCTCCCCCGGGAAGATTTTTTTTTAAATGTTGAAGTTAAAAGCATCAATCTGGTGCATTTAGGAGATCTATGGATACATCTCTCAACACCCACATTAAACAGAACTGTAAGCAGATTTTATTTTTCTTTATGGATATTTTACAAATCACTCTCCTTTTAAATTGTATTCTTGTTTATTAATAACAACTTTGTTTTACTGTCATATAGTATTTTATACCTGTTTACTTTATTCTCTTGTGTTTTTATAACTATAATGATCAGTGGCGGCCGGTCCATAGGGGCGCTAGGGGCGCCGCCCCACCTCTTCCCATATTGAAAAAAAAAAAAAAAAAAAAAAATTAAAATTAAAATAAAAAAAAAAAAAATATGTTTAAAAAAATATATATATTTTTATTTTTATTTTTAATGAACAAGGTAAATATTATATAATTGGTATCAGTAAAATGTATAATCTACAATAAAATCTCGTTTAAAATTGTGTTACGATGTCTAAAGTTACTGATAAGTCACATGTTTCCTGCCTGGCCTTGCCCATGCACCTTCTCTCGTCTGGGCGCTAAGAGAGGAGCCTTCAACCAGTGCAGCAGCAGCCACTAGCAGCTGACTGTTGCTATCTGTAACGTGTAAACTATGCCGCGAAAATATAATTTCAGCCAATCAGCGTCGTCAAAGATGACGGTCACCGGGCGCCAATGTCAGCGCCCAGTGCAGTCTGTGAGTAGTTTGGACAGTGACTCGTATCCGGTTGACGCAGTAGTTGATGAGGATGGCTTCGTGTGCAGGTGGAGTCTCCGGACCTCGGTCCCCGCCTAATTCTGTTCAAGAGCTAATCTCCAATCCTTTCGAAAGGAGAAGTTTGGCAGATAAATTGTTGCTTAAAGACCTTGGACCGGACCAACCCGATTTGAATATATCGCAGCAATCTCGTGAAAAAGACAAAATTTATACACGAGGCTTCACAAGTAGCTGGTACACAAGAAAGGCTTGGCTAGCTGGATGCAAACATGTAAATGCTGTCTTTTGTTTCCCATGCTTGGATATCACTTTATATGTAGAGAGGAGGTTTCCCATGGTTGTTAGAAGTTTATTAATAAGTGGGCATTTATCACAGAAGTGATTGTTCTGTCTCCACGTTTGTTGCATTGTCTGTGATGTATTTTCCAACGGTTATAGCTCCTGTTCTGTCCCAGCAACACTACACGGTTTGCAGCTCCACCACATTTTTGGTTTATCTTCGGTGTCGCTTAAAATCTGCTTCCCATCGGACTAAAACCTCCACGTAATCTGAAGACAGATACTTGAAGTTATTTAAACCTTTTGCAAACGTTATGTTCTTTCTTGCTCTAGCCTTGCCAGTTACATTGTACATAACACATATATTATCATTATGCTAAGTGGTTGTTCGTGTTAGACGATGTAGCTTTTTCATTTCTGAGTTATTGCTATATGTAAATAAGCCTGTTTGTAAATAATCCTCAGAGAAACAAAGAAAAAACACAATTTATGACATTTTGTGCTGTGGTTATTTTTTTTAAATTGCATTTATTCACAGTTCAGTTTGAAATGCTGTAGTGACTTGTATTGAACCACTTAAATATTTATAATTAATGCTACTGAAAAGATGCTATTAATTTTATATCTCACATGCAGTTCACTGTAAAGCTACTTGGTGAAGGTGTTGGTTCATAAAACATGAACAGTTTTAAGAAAGAAAAAAACAGACCAGTTCTGAGAACACAAATTCCTGGTAAAGTAGTAGATGTTCAGGTTGATAAATAATATTTTCCACACTGAAGATTATGGAGGTATTGATCAGTCTTCTCATATTTTTAAGCCTCGATTTCTCCTTTCCCCCCCCCCTCTAACATCACCAGAAGTCATCATTTAAGGGGTCATTTCTCGAAAAAAAACTCCGGGGGGAAACCCCCCGGACCCCCCGGGTAGGTCACTTACGGTACGTCAAGAGCCCCACCAAAAAAAAAGACCACCGGCCGCCACTGATAATGATCATATAAAGATGTGCCTTTACCTCACTGGTTGTAGAAAAAGCTTCTTATATTCGTTAGCATAGCTAGCTAACAAGATGCTAATAACAACAAAGTTATTGACTGTATGATCAGTATGACAGATGAACAGATCGCCACTGGGCTTTCAACTAAAGACACAGCCACGCAAAAACTGCGGCATGTGTACGGCTCCTTATCTGAAGTGCCAGAGCCGCAATGATTCTGGTGCTCCGTCAGCACTACACCCCTGTCAGACGACCGTGTTGTGTTCAAGGACCCTGACCTTGGCCAGGAAAAACAGGCACTCGCTTGTTTAATTATTTTGCGGTCTAGATTTCTTTAATTTTTTTCTATTTTGCGTGTGTTTATAAATTACCTCCAGGGCCGTACCAAATGGTCTCGCGGTCCGTATACGGCCCGGAGGCCGGAGGTTCCCCACCCCTGCTCTAAAGGATTAAATAACTTTATCATGATCTAGGAAATTAAGCGAAACTAGGCAATTAAACTAAGGGGGGGGGGGGGGGGGGGTCAAGGCTTTTTCCAAGCCTTGACTGTTGTTTTTCAGTGAAAAACTAGGTCTTGTTAGCAGCTGCTACATAAATCTATTCAAGGTCCACTCCCCCCGTACAACACTCCCTTTATTGTGCGGCTCATGATCATTGAAGCTTCACATCTCTTACAACATTGTATTCTGTGTAAAGTCAAACAAGAAGATCAACATGAGGGTACAACGTGAGTCATCTGATGCAGGAAGTGTTGTTGCTTTTACCTGTGTTGAGTAATATTATGGCTTTCATGCAGAGAAACTCCTCGCGGCTAACTTGAAGGTTTGCAAACTCCTGAGGGATGAACTGTATCGCCAGGCACAGCTCGTAAATCGGAGATCTGCTCATTTGCTCCCTGACAGACAAAAAAAAAAACTGATTTACGATTCTGAACAATCAAGAGCCTATTTTTCATCCAAAATAATTAAAGTTTGGGAAACAAATGTGTTTAATGATAGTTACTTACTGACTGAGAACCAGATCAGGTGCAAAGTATAAATATTCATTGGTGACATTCTGATAGGAGCGCCACCCAAGAGAGAACACCATCAGGTTCACCCACGAGTACTGGATGAGGGTCATCTGATCCGTGATGTGAAGATTACGAAACCCTTTGAAGAAAAAAGAAAATTCAATATTCATTTATTTTCCCACAGTATATGCCACCATTTCATTTCATTTTTATTTGTTCCGCTCATGGTACGCAAAACCCAATGTACAATAATGGCCAACAAAACACGTCTCGACAAACACACCATTGAGCGAAAAGGAGCAGGGAGAATAAACAAATCTTATACCTGCTCCTTTCTAAAAAAAAAAATAGAAATAGATGGTCTGTCCTTCATATTTCTTTTTCACAGCCAAACTTATTCACAGCAACAACGACACCAAAACATCACATGTATAAGGAAAAGGAAAAGTGCAACACCCTCATCTGATCAGATGAGTAATGTAAATGCAGGGTGAGGGTTGCATGGATGTGAATGTGTGAGGGTGTTGAGGTGCACAAAGTAAAGCAACAACAGCATATACTCAACAAAACCGGGGGCCTGCAGGGAAAAGCAGAGAGACCACAGAGAGGAGCAGAGAGGCTTTAAATAGGGCACCAGACCCAGGTGCCCTGAGTTACTACAATCAGTGCAATCAATGCAGCACAGACAGGACAGCCACATCCTCTCCACTGATGGACCCACAGGGGCATCACAGCCCCCCCCTTAAGACGGGGCCCCAAAGGGGTCCACGACCAACCAACATCCTCCTTAACTCCACTGCCTTTATGTCCCACTCCCCCTTGTCCTCTTTGCTCAGCATCCTCCACATCTCTCCGGCCTTCTTGGAGATCTCTGTGATGGAGATGCCGGGGTTCTCAGACCTGATTCTCTCTCGGCTGACGTTGAGCCACAGCATGTAGGCGCTCATCGGCCTCTTGGGCGCGCTAACCTCCTTCGGCCTCCTCTTCCTCTCTTTGCAGGGTTTCCTCTCTTTCTTCCCCCTCTTCTTCTTCTAGGCATCGTGCTGGTCTTCGTCCGAGTCGCTGTACTCGTCGATCTTACCCTTCATGCCCTCTTTGAAGCCTCTGTTCTTGATGTTGAGCTTCTTGGCATTTACAAAGTCAAACAGTTTGTCGTATTCTTCTCTTTCAATGCTCCTGAAGGTAAACTGATTTCCCTGCTGGATCTCTGAGTGAGGAAGAGTCTCCTCGTCTTCCTCCTCCTTTGACACAGACGAAGGGAGATCAGGCAGTGAGACCACCTGTTCAACAACACTTTTCCTACCCTCCGAAACAGGCAGGTCAGTAGACATCCTACGGCTCTGCGCACGCGTAACAGTACAAACACCCTTGGAAATTGCAAACCGCCCTCATCTGGCTCCACAGATGCCAACGGTCTGGAAACCACCACAGGCGGTGGCACACCAGCCCACACAGCACTACCAGCGAGATCGTTGCCCAAAATCATCTGTACCCCATCAATTGGCAACGCGGGACGCACGCCGATAGACAACCCCCCGCACCAACTCACAATCCAGCACTATTGTATGACGTGACACGGGAATCAAGCCCATCTCCATGCCCTTCATCAACACAAAATCCCCAGTCTCTGACGAAAAAGGCAACACTGACTCAACAATAAATGAGTATCTAGCTGCTGTGTCACGCAACACCTTAATCGGAACATACTTGTCACTACCGACTACTGATACAACGGCTTCCGTTATGAACGGCTCAAAACCAGAACCCACATCCAAGTCGGCACAAACCAGCTTCTTATCAGGCACCATGCCACTGCTAATTTTACTCTAGCATAGTCCAAAGCATTTTCGCCACAAACAGCTGAATAGGCCTCCTGTGCTTGCCCAGTGAAGTAACAGCACTCTGTCCGAATCTGATCAGTTTCTTGCCTCTGCTATGCTGAATTTTTTTTACTCTATTTGAAAAATAGAGTAAAAAAAATGTCAGGGTCACGCTCATTAAACTTCGGCACTAACCGCAAGTATGAAATAATATCGCCACTACCTGATGCCGACCTATCAGAACCATCCTCCACCGGAGAAAGCTTGCCCTCTCCAATCAGCCGTAATCTAGCATGTTCCACCTCACATTTAATCTTCTCCACCTCTAAACGCTTCTCTACCTCCTGCTGCTGACCCCTCAACTCCAACTGCAACCTCTCCTGCTCCAACCTCAATTTCTCCTGCTCCAACCTCAACTCCAACTGCAACCTCTCCTGATTAAACTGCATGGTCAAAAGCTCCTTTTGCTGCTCGAACGTCAAACCAGCTGTCTGAACCACTACCGGCACGACCCCTGCCGCACCAGACTCACCCTTCTGCAACACCCCCTGCTCAAACAAAGATGACACAATGACAGCTTTAAATCTCATGTTTCAATATGCTCAATATATACAATTTCAGAATCAAACAGAGCACTCTCATAATAACGTAACACTATCAGAGACTGGATATATCCCCCCTCCCTCTCCCCTCTGGTCGCTACAATGTGGAAAATAAATTACGGGCCAAAAGTTTTATCTACAAGTATTAAAAGTAAGCAGAGGACACCAAACCAACTGAGACCTGTCTGTCCGCTGCATCTACGCACACACTGTCCACACACACCTACACCACACACACGCACCTACAGCTCGTAAAGCATATAATCAGGCTACAGCCGTTGTGTATTTTATTATACACAGACTCTTTGTTTGTAGATATCTACTAAACTAAAGCAAATAAAGAGAGTAGGCCTGTTATACTGAGTGATATTATACACACTGCTCTGCTTTCTGCACGGACCTCACAGCTGTTCTCACTGTAAACATCGCGTCGCGATGAAAGCAGTTAATAGAATAATATCCAGGGGATGCATGCAGAACTGTCATTGGCTGAGATATGTCCGGCCGTTGCGTCACGACTCTTTGAAACATCACTGTTGCCGGAAATGCATCCACGAAGGAGCCGTGGAGGACCGTGGAGGACCCATCAGTGTATCCTCGGTTATAGCTCCTCCAGAGAGCCTCCTCGACGCTCGATCCTCGGTCCTCGAGGTGCATTTAGAGAAATGAGATGTCCTTCAACATGGCGAGCTAAAATTCATTTCCGGGTCACTACCGGAGGACCGAGGAGTCGAGGAGGGGGATTTGATGAAATGAGAACGGGCCCATGTGCTCTGAGCACTACACAAACTTTTAACCAAATAACCCGTCGGACGAACCCCCATTTGTTACGACCTGGCTCAAAAGGCCATAACAAAGAGGAGACACACCATATCAACGGTTACTAAAATATATTTATTTAACCAAACAATTCAAATTAGCCAAATCAAATGAAGTGCAACAATAAGTAAAGCATGAGGTGTGGACGTCAGTGGTGTAAATGCAGGGTGAGGGTTGCATGGACGTGTATGTGTGAGGGTGTTGAGGTGCACAAAGTAAAGCAACTAAAGTAACAACAGCATATACTCAACAAAACCGGGGGCCTGCAGGGAAAAGCAGAGAGACCACAGAGAGGAGCAGAGAGGCTTTAAATAGCTGCAGGGCACCAGACCCAGGTGCCCTGAGTTACTACAATCAGTGCAATCAATGCAGCACAGACAGGACAGCCACACCCTCTCCACTGATGGACCCACAGGGGCATCACAATGTACAAAATAAAAAGTTTAGGCCCTAAAACCGAGCCCTGTGGGACACCACATTCTATGTTCATCCACTCCGATGTACTACCAGCAAATTCTACATATTGTTGTCTGTTATCTAAATAACTTTTTAACCAATCTATAACTACTCCTCACACCATATCTATGTAATTTCGAAATTAATAGGTTATGGTCTATGGTGTAAAATGCCTTTTTTGAGTCAATAAATACACCTATTGTGTATTTCTTTCTTTCTATAGCTGTTGTAATTTCTTCGGTTATTTTCATTAAAGCTAAAGCTGTAGATCGATTCTTCCTAAATCCATACTGACTCTCAATAACTCATTTTTTTCAATAGAATTATCACATTTTTGGACAAACAATTTTTCAAGGACCTTGGAAAATTGTGAAAGCAAGGACACTGGTCTGCAGTTAGTACATTGGCCTTTGTCCCCTGTTTTAAAAAGTGGGATAACTTTTGCTATTTTCATGCTATCTGGAAAAATACCTGTCTGAAATGAAAGATTAAAGATGTAGCTGAGCGGTTTAATTATACAGTCAATAGTCGTTTTCACTATTGTCATGTTGATCCCATCACTATCAGTCGAAGTCTTATTTTTGCATTTGTCTACAATGGATCTAATTTCATAACAAAACATCAGTGTGCTCCTGATAGGGGTATTGTGATAAACTGGCATTGAAGATAACCTAGATAAAAAAATGCAAATATTGATATTATGTCAGGAAAACAGTCATGATAATCTTTTGTAAATATTACGCATCTTAAATAGTTTTTGTTTTGCTGCTCTCCTTTTGTCTCCCCCAATTCCCCACACACAAATTAGTAAATGTTTTTTCCAAAAGCGAGACATAAGCAAAGAAATCACAGTTTCTGAATTGAACAGAAAGCATTACAGTATTTTATTCCTAAAGACATCCCAATAATATCCTTTTTGTGACTGCTTTTGACCAAGATAATTACGGTATTTTATTCTTAAAGACATCACAATAATAGCCTTTTTGTGCCTGCTTTTGACCAAGATAATTGTAAAGTGAAAATCTAACAGCTCTAAATCATACCCAGTGGTGATCCACTTTGGTTTTTTAACACAATTTATATCCACTTACAGCCTTATTGCTAAAAAAAACCTGTACAAAGCCTTCTAACTCTGTCGGTGGTTAAGGCTGTGAGACCTTCGGCGTGGGCTGCCAGTGCATCCCCATGGCGACCACAGTGGTGACCCTGAGCTGCAGAGAGACGTTACCTGGGAGAGTCTTGGACCACTTGACGATCCACACCAGCTGTTTCTCACACAGCCTGTTGAGGCTGTTGAGCAGAATGTGGGGCCCGTCGGTCTGGGCGCTGTTGAATCCGGAGTACATGATCTCTGGTTCGATGTTTTCCAGGATACTGAGGATCTGTTGGGAGAGCTGCTCCTCGCGGACGCCTGGTATGCACGACATGGAGGTCAAGGTGTGATTTTCGTTGGATATGGCAATGTGTGACTGGAACATCAGGGACGGGGCCAAACTGAAGGCTTTCAAGGCCCCGAAACGCTTCAGCTTCCTGCCTGTGACAGACGTGCAAGGCCTGGTTAGATTTAGGGACAAAGAGCACAAGTTGTGCCCATACAACAACAGAGGGCTTTTCCATGCCAAGTTAATTTATCAATCTTAACATCCTCTTTGATGCTAACCATGAATTCTGAATTAGTGTTACATAATCAGTTTCATATCTGGGAAAATAAATCCAACCACTCGTTACCTCCTAGCATCATTCCCGCTTGATAGCACTTCCGGAGGCGACACGCAGGGCAATTTTTCCTCCGAATTTTGTCCACAATGCAGTCGTTTCGCCCAGCGCAGAGATAGCTGTGATGGCCTGTTGAGTGAAAGGATACAGACAAGAACACCATTTTATGAGGACTTGATCTTAAAATAAGCAGCGAGGGGTAGAGGCATAATGAGGGGAGGAAAGGTGTTGAAGGGCTCTTGACTATTAACATGGCTACTCCATCCACACAGAATCAATGTTCTGAGGAGAGATCTAAAGAAGAAAATTAGATAGAGGCAAGGCTGTGAGGACAGAGTGACACGGCCATGGTGAGACATAGTGGCTCTTATGTATCTCGCGTTGCAAGATAACATGAAAAACAAGTCCAAGCAAGGAACACAGTGAACACTAGTCAATGTGATACTGTTGCTAATGACCTTCTGCTAAAAAAAAAAACTGCTAGAGATGGTCAGTCCAAATTGATGTGGTAACTCCCTATCATTATCATTTACCGGAGACGTGTGATAGCACACATCACAGATTAGATTTCCTGAGTGTTTTTTATTAAATGTTTTATCTTGGATTTTTTTTTCCAAGGAAATCTTCAAACTGATCAACAGTTGACAGTTGGCATGGCGGACACATTTTCATTTGCAGGAACCATACAAATCAAGTTGTATTATACAACATGTATTGTGTAATATCAACAATGTAAATACACTGGTACTAACAGTACAAAGGCTGGGGGGAAAAGATCTGCTGTAGAGCTGATAGGTTTCAGGATTGATGGAATATGTGAACAAAAGGAGATGAAAACGGATTTGTGCTTGAAATTATTAGAATGTTGAACATACAATGTCCTGAAGTAGTTAAAAAAAATGCTCTGCTCACCCTCAACTGCTCTTTTAAAAAATACTTTACAGCTCCCGCAGGTTAAGACTCCATAGTGGCAACCAGACGCCTCATCCGCACAGATCACACACTGTCTCTGAGGTGGCATTCTGAAATAAGGAAGAAATGCATACATTAATGAACTCACATATGAACTAAATGTATATAAAAATTGCAAAAATTACCATTCTGTTTTTGAGCAGAACAACCTAATTTTATCTCCATTTAAACATTTGGGTAAAATGTACAATATATTGTAATGAAGTCACATAAAGGGATAAATCATCTGAGCCAACCCTAATTAATTTAAAGGCAATAACTAAATGTTGTTTTAATTAGACATTCACACTTGCCTTAATGGATGGTTTGTTTAACCCTTGAGGGTATTTTAAGCTAATTAAAGAGTCCTCTTTGTATATTTGCAAAGTAAGGTATAAGACTTAAGGACCATTAAGGACCAATTGTGTAGGCATATATAGATGTGGGTAAAAAGAAAAAGATGGTTTAAAAAAAATGTCCTTCTCATAACTCAAATTCGACCGAATAGGATTAGATATTTTCATTTACTTTTACTTGTTTTTAAAACGATTGAAACCTTTTCATGAAATGTTAGATTAGTTCAGGTTCAGGTTATTTATTTGTACCCGTAGGTAGATTCTGTTTGCAGAGAAAAAGACAAGGGTTCCATCCTGACACTAAAAACAAACACAAACAACAGACACATCTCTAATAAAAGGAATAGTAAAAGTACAAGTATACCCTGCTCAACCAAATCTCAAAATATTTTAAAAACATTTTAAGAAGGAAAACACTAGTACAAACATGGACATTCAAAATTCACAATTAAATAAATAAATAAAAATAGGCATCTGTGTGACAGCTGCTGGGATAAAACTGTTTTTATACCGCTTCGTTCTACTCCTAACAAGTAACCTCCAGCCCGAAGGAAGAAGCTTAAATTCTGAGTGCAGAGGGTGGGAGTCATGGTCTAATATGGAGCTGGATAACCGCTTTAACTGCCTGAGGTACAGGGTCTCCAGGTTTAGCTGTGGCTCACCAATCAGTCTGCTGGACCACTTTATGATAATATAGTTTTAGAAATTAAGAGTTTTAGAGTTGTTTTATTCCACTTTCTCTGCCACGGCAATGGCCGGACCGACTGATAAACATGTAATTGTGCTTTGGAAAAACCCATCCCCTATCATGTCCTATAATTGGATTCTTTAATGTCTGATCATCAGATGATGTGCATATAGGCCTAATTTGTCAAAGCTATTGCAAAACTGTCCATGCTCCATTATCAAGTTAAAAAAGCAGAATGTATTTTTTTGCAGAATTGTTGTTGAAAAAACTATTTCTATATCACTTGAACTATCACCTAACCATTATGTAAACTTTATTTTAACGGTCAGGTGGTAGGCCTACTTAGTTTTTCTATCTACGTCAAGTTGAGTGTTTTGTAGTCATAATTACCCGGGGTACGCGGAATATGGTGATGGGTTCCTTCGAATCATGGCCTGGTTCTGGATCCCCTCATAGCCGTTTTGTGTGAACTGGTCATCGTTCATCCCCACGGACTGGCACCAGTACTGGGTCTCAGGCGGAGACGGCTGCATCTGCCAACGGGGAACTTCGCTCTTGTACATGGCCAGTGGCTGCTGGGCTGCGTGCGTAATGGCATCAAAGTTTCCAACAGCCTTCCCGGACACATCGCACCTGGAGTCGGCCCTCACCTGGATGAGCGCCGGAAGCTGATCTGGCTGGTTCAGGTCCATCAGGAAGTTTGGAGACCCCTCCAGCCTCGGCCTCGCTGCAGCCGGGGAGAAGCTCGCGGACTCCCCGTCACTGAGCCTCAGCTGCTGCTTCCTGTCGGTGGCACAGCAGGTGTCCAGATCAGGAATCTCCGGTGATGTGTCGAAGTTGGGAATGGGGCTGTTCATAAGCACAGAAGGCTCTTTTTCATCTTTGATTAAATTAAATGCTCCTGTTGATGTGGAGAAGCTTACATTTGCGCCTGGCAAAGTTTCGGTTGTGGCCACATGTGTCCTCTGAACGTCCCACTGCACAGTGTCACACTTCAGATAGTCACTGCTACGGTCATAAAAATGTTTTCCCGCAAGTGAACCATCGAGTAATGGAAATGGAAAGGAATCAGCCATCGTAGTGATGGTGCTCATTCTTCCGTGTGTGTTATTGTCCATTTGCTGATCCTGGGAGCGCGCAGCAGAGACTGGAGTGCCCGGAGGTTGGATGATGTGTGATGAAAAGCTGCTCAGAGGCTCTCCTGTAATCCTCCTCCCCGTCGAAAAAGGATCTGGCCACGTCTTTTTCTCACATGGGAGTCTATTCCATGCAATTTAACTACGCTTCAGAAACAGATAAGAAAACCAACTCTTATCCTTTTGATGATGAGGGATCAGCAGAGAGATTGTAAACCTTTAAATTAATTGAACCCATATTTAAGTCAATTTCAAATATAATTCCTTGTTCTGGTTTAAGGTGTCATGTTTCAAAGTTGAATATACGTGTCCTTTAAATAGATCTCCAATAGCCTTCCTCACAATTAAATAGTTATTCCTTCAAAGGATGCCAGAGGAAGAGTCAATGCATCAGAGTTGTTGGAGATGTATGCAGTTACACAACCCTTACAGCCGACCTAAAGTAAAGTAGCCAGCCAATGAGAATGGATCACTTCAATGTCAAGGGCCAACAGTCTCCACCCCACTGTTCATGGATAAGGTAAACGCTAGGATATTGTTGGCCAAATAAGAAACTATTGAGACTGGGTGCCTTCCGAAGAGGAGAGAATGGCTCTTTTAAATCAGTTAAAAACCTCAAAATCTCCCTCATCCTTTGAAAGTCAAGACCCAGATGTATGTTGTCCATTTTAATAGGTTATGTAGATCTTTTAATTTTTAGGTAATGTTGGCAGGTTGACAGGTTGGAGAATAGTAACACAAAATCACTACATGAGATTTTGGTTTAAAGTTGTATTTACCACTTTGGTACATCTTCCAATCTCAGTGACAGTGAACTGTTAAAGTAAATTATTGAGGGTTAGAAAAAAAGTCTGTAATGAAGTCAATACAACAGCTTTATGCTACAACTAATAATTCTAATACAAAATATAAAACATATCTAAAAGGAAAATATTAATAAATCAGCAGGGTTGAACTGTCAATTCAGGTTACTTTTTCCATTTCTAGTTAATGGTTTGACATTTAAACTTTTGCATCATTAATACAATGGTTTTAATATGTTTTTATATATAATTATTAATGTAGGCCACATTTTTTTTTCTTAGTTGTGATTTAATTTTAATTTACATTTCTGTTATCTTGGTAAGATAGTTTCTTGGTTTGGATAACATTTCACTATTCAAGTTAATCAGCTGAGTGAGGATGTTGCTGATTAATGTGCTAATGATGCACACATAGGCCTTGGCCCCAATCTCCTACGTCATATGTCAGACGATAATCAGAGGGGATTCTCATGTGGTGGAGCACATGATTATTGGATAACTGTTTCACATTCAAATCTACATGATGTGTTCTTCAAATGCTGTAATGGTCTACTTTTCAGACAAGGCTTTTATCTGTAGATGTTACGCTTATCTTGACAACAACCAGCAACAAGTCTTATGCAACCTAATCTGTATCCTTTTTTTAAACAGATTTCAACTTTAACACTGGGAGTAAATGGATTTTATCAAGCTCTAAAATAAACTGTAATTATGTTTTGATGTAATAGCTGCCATGTTCACCGCTGATTCTTTCTTGGAAGCTCATAAATGTTTCACAGTAGCTTAAATCTGGTGGTAGCTTTAGCGCCCGACTGATGGAGATAAGCTGTTCGTCTACCTGACACAGGTCAGCCTGTTCTCCACATTGTGTTTTGCTGCACAGCATTAATCAGAGAGCACAGCAGCATCTGCTGCAACACTTTCAATAACCCATAAACCCTCTGTTCCCAATTAGCTGAAGATAATCAAAACATATTTGAATTCAATTATTTAATAGTATGCTTACAGTAAGTGATCAACATTTCTTGAACACTACATTAAAACATCTTAAAGTTAATGTCCGGAAAATATACATCAGCATCCTGCTTATTGATTTAAAGATTACATTGCAAGAAAATAAATCAGTAATTCTCAGAGGAAAGAGCGGTAATTATCAAGCTTTCATATCGGACTTATAACCGTGCCACAAAAATATTCAACCATATGCTTTTTTTTTTTTTTTTGCAGCTTTGCTACTCCAGAGAGAAAATGGCCACTGAATCAAACCATATAAACAGCTGGTAACCGGCAGCACCATCATATGTTAGCAGTCAGTATTGCATAATAGTGTAGCCTGTGCAAGAAGAAGTTACATTAGTGCCACAGTGTGATTAACTGTACAGATAAAAGGACAGGGACAAAGAGGGTTTGGTGAGTTACCTCCCAAGGGGCTCAATTTACACAAAAGCGGAAATTAAATATATGTTTTTTATATTTTAAGTACAGAATATCTTTTTCTGTCAGTTGTTTTTGTCCAAAAATCTGTCTAAGAGCCCTTTGACCCAGACTGAACGCCTCATTAAGAGGACTTTACATTGACATTGAGAGGACTTCACCCAGTAAACACATCTCTAATCTTTACATCTTTTAATAAATGAAAGAGATCTCATTCTTCTGCTCTTCTTTCTGCTGAACATGCATGACTTCTCCCAGTTGCCTGATGAGTTTTGTCACTGTCTCCACGTCCCGGTTGGCCCTTTCCAGCAGCTCATAGCGGAGACTGGAGATGTCCTGTTTGATTTCTTTCAGCTCACCTGTGGGACATGTTTTGTAATTTAGTGATCGACAAAAGAAAAGAAATGTATCCAGAAAGCCTGTAGAACTCACCTTCATTAATTTCATCATTTTCTTTATCTCGCTGTGCTTTTACTATGTATCTTTTGACGAGGCGATTCATTATACTCTGCAATTAAGAATTGAGTAAGCAATGATTGTTCCTTAAAAAAAAAGAGTATAAATAAAACAAGAACAGCTGACAACTTGTTTCAGTGAGCATTTGTGATCATAATGTGCTAATATGCAAGTCTTCTTTTCAGTACCTTAATGTCCTCTAGATGTGAATTACTTCAATACATTACTAACATTGCATTATTGATGTTTACATATCTAAGTGTAAGACTGTACAGCTCAGTTATTCACAGGATAATCAGCAGTAGGAAATGAAAAGTGCTTTACTTGGTGACGGGTTGGACAAAGCGATGCATCCACACTCAGATCTGACTGCTGCCTCAACTAAGAATAAAAACAAAAAAGAAGAAGCAATGTCAACACTTGAACCACGCCTTTAAGTTACACTTTTAAACCAGCAATCTATAAATGTGACACAAGAGGGCTCTGCAGAGCTGTTTTAAAGAATATAGGTCAACTTTAAAGGGACACTCTTATGCTAATTTTAAGGGTTTCCTAATTGTGTGCCTCTAATGTGACGTGTTCAAATGTTTTAATGTTCACAAAGGTCTTTATTTTTCTAATTCTGCCTTTGCTGCATTAGAAAACCTATTTTCACCCTCTGTCTGAAACCAGAGCCCAGTCTGCTCTGATTACTAAGCTGACAGGGTCTCTTGTAATTGGTCAACTGATTAGAGATGTCCAGCACCTTAGCCTATCACATACAATGTGTTTGAACGCTAGCCAATAGACATGTTATGTAGTGATGTCACTATGTCGCTGGAAGTAAACAAAGGAGTCCAATTGAGGCGTTTCAGGCAGGTGGGGAGTGTGTCGGAGTGAACTTTGGGATTTTAGCCTTTGCAGACCATTAACATGCACAAAAACCTATATAACACAGGAAAGGCCAGACAGTAAAAAGTGTCTCTAGCCATTCATTTACATTCAACAAAAATGTATTTGGTCATTCTGTTGCATGAAATATTATTATTACCTTATTAAGCTCCATCTCATCATTTGAATTTCCTTTTATTTTGCCTTTCGGTCCATCCCAAAGAAGTTCCCTTATCCCAAGCAAGAGGGAAAGGACAGACTTGGGGCTGGGTACGAGGTTGAAGGGCACGGACAGGGTGCCGCCATGCTCAAAGTACGAGAACCACAGCTTAGCTCTGGCAAACTTCCACTCAACATCAGAATCATCCTGCACCAGAGAAGAAGAGGTAGGAGCCAGTTTAAACATTTAATGAGCAACAAAAATGTGCAATTTGGTTTTCTTCGTGTTAATGGAAAGCATTGAAACCATTACGTATACAAAACTAGACGGAATCTGGCACAAATGAGTAAATCTTAACATTTGACATTTCTGTCAAAATGCTCAATATCACGAGATACTTATGGATGGTTATGACTTACCTCAATTTCTTGGAAGGAGCTGTTGAACATGGCAATGAGCATATTCAGCAACACAATCACCATGATGATGTTGTACACCCCATACAGAACATAGCCAATATTCTCAATGAATTTATGGTCGATGTTGATGACCACTGATTTGACTTCTGACAAGCCAAAGATGGCCCAAAATAGCGTTTTAAAACTCTCTTCGAGCCTAGAAAAGAAGAGAAATGGGAAGTTTAGTGCAACGGGATGGTCCTAAATCATATCAATTCAACACAGATTTAATCTCATGGCACAAATTATGTGAAATATCAACGTTTTCAAGGCTTTTTCAGGCAATTGCATTATTGTCTATAGTTGATACTTACGTTGTGAAGGCATCGTTGTATTTGGCCCCGAGGTAGTACGAGTACAGATTGAACATTCCCACCATGAAAGCCAGAAAGACTGTTATGAAGATCACCATGAACTTAAAGAGGTCTTTAACTGTTCTTCCTAAAGAGATCTGTAAAGGCCCAAAGCTCTCGTTGGCAGGCAGGATGTATGCAATGCGAGAGAAACTCAGCACAACTGCAATTGCATAGAGGCCTTCAGAGATAAGCTGTGGGTCCGATGGCATCCAGTTGATACGAGCTGAAAATAAACATGCCATATACTTTCACTCCATTTAGATTGCTGTTCCTGTGTATACTCATAGGGTTAAGATTTAGCCTGGGTTTGTTGATACTGGAAATCGCGCAATCATGACTCTGATGATAATTAACACATCTTAGTGGAAAAAGCAAATTTCAAATGATTTTCCCTGTCCTATGTCTCAAAATTGGTGGAGAAAACTAAAACTTTAGATATCCACCTATCAGATCAACACCTTAATTAAATAAATATATATAAATATGTAGTAAGAACAAATGCAACCTACATTTTAAGTCTGAATCAGTAAATCCTCTTTAATACAATATTTCCTGTAGTGCTGTTTATACATTTAGATTGTGTTGGTGTTGGAGATATTGGCCGTAGAGATGTTTGCCTTTTCTCATATAATTGAACTCGATGGTACTCGGCTTGTGGTGTTTAAAGCAATAGAAAAATACATTGTAAAACTCAAGAGCAATGTTTCTCATCAGAAATAATTACCTGGTTACACAAGATATAATCCACAGAGGAACAATTTTCTTACAACTGCATCATTGTGGAAAAGGGAAATGTGCATCTACTCATGGACAATAGCCTCGTGCTCACTCATTGGCGGGTGTAGTTTAGTAGAAAGAAAATAGTTCCCATGTGAAACTGCTCACAACAACAATAATAATAATAATAATAATAATAATAATAATAATAATAATAATAATAATAATAATACATTTGATTTACAGCACACTTTAAAAACAACGTCATCTCAAGGTGCTTCACAAAACTATAAGGAGAAAATAATAAAACAAATAAAATAAAAAGATATCTAACATGGTCTGTGAATCATCTTGCGTAACCTGGTCAGGATTTCTGGAAGGAGACATTTCTGTTGAAGCAAGCCAAGTGCTATTCAATGTCATTATTAGACGTCTGACATCTTTACAACTTTCTCCAAAACTTGTCACACCAAAAAAATGTAGTTAATAAATAGCACTACAGAGATACAATATGTGTTTAACAAACTGTCCTTTTAAAGTTTGAATCACCCAATACACTTTATGTCCAATTCAGCAAATATCTCCTCAGAGCCCATGCTTTGTGTGCGCTAAAAATAAATCCTGTGTTCGTACACAGCCCTGGCTCGGTTAATGGATTTATTTATTTGTTAACCAAACAAGCCAATGCTTTTCCAGCCTTGACAGGAGAAAAGCACTGTAAGCAAGAAGGATGGTAAATCTCACACATGTTAACATTCTAAAAGAGCACTGACGGAGGAGTGTATTTGTTTGGGTGTTGAGTTCATATACACAACTTCCTGCAGAACCCTAACCCTAACCCTCCACTTTATAGGTTAGTTGCACATGTATATGAAAACGAATTATTAACTACTTATTTTATAGGAATTATTTGGGTACTTACCCAGCTGGAAATATTGTATCTCAAATGGCAAGGTCATGTTGGACAGGTCAGTGTAGTGCTTGTCAACATAACACTGGGCAGAATATGCATGCCAGAAAGCCATTAATCTGGCAATGAAAGATGTCATAAAAATGGCCAAGATACTAAAGTCAAGAAGGTTCCAGGGCTCTGAGATGTATTCCCTGATGTCCTGCGACCAAATATCTTTACATTCTTCCCAGATCTTTCCTGTAAGAGAGAAAAAAAAAACATGTTTAATCGCACTGTTTCTGTCTCAAATGATCATAAATCAAGGATATAATTAATTGAGTTGTGAGTTAAATCCCAAAGGGTTTAGTGATGCTGTATGCTGTTATAAAGTGTGTGATAAGACTCCAAAGTCTCGTCTGCAGAGATTAGTAAAAGAGTCACCTTGCCTTGTGCCTTTGAAAAGTCAGTACCAGAATAATTCATCTAGACCATCTGGTAAGAATACATAATTGTCTATATCAGCGATTTAGATGTTTGGGGATTTATTACCCTATAACGACAGAATCCATGACCTGCATATATAGCAGAATTATGGTGTTGTAGACCTTTGTAAGAGCGATGGAAGAGGGAAAAATACACAAAACAAAAATATATAAACTAATGTCACTGAAAAAGATTTGGCAGATAGTTATTTTAAACATGAATGTGGAAGGGATATGGTGTGGGGCGGGGGGAGTGTGTTTTCACTTATGACCTATGACCCAGGATATGATGAGAATCTCCATCCAGGTGAAGGGGGTGGTCTTCATACGAAACAGTTGAGAGGGGTGATCATGGGTGGTCATGTTGGGCAGCAGTGATGTTCCCCCAAAGCGGTCTGCTGCGTTCAGGACCAGCAGGCAAAGAAATATCATAAAGGAGGCTGCATGGGCCACGAACTTCAGGAAAGGTCCACGCATGAGTTTCCCTAACTGACACAAGTCAGGGAATGGAAAACAGAAAAAAAGTGTCCCAATTCAATTTCAAGTGTTATCTGTACAGCCTCTAGCAAAATATAAACCTAATCAAGAACAAAACACCAAACTGTCTGTAAAGCAAAGGTCCGCATGTATGTTGAAACACAGACTAACCACCAGCAACAGTTATCAGTTAAATTCAACTAAATACAATGTGTTAAAGATACCTGTTTCAAATGTAATCATGCTATTAAATGGTCTTTATCGGTTGTTTTCACTAACAATCTAGTATTTCAAAAGGGGGAAACTGAGCCCACCAGTGGGCCAGAAGATGTATGTCCAACATTATGGGTAATATTTGTGTTGAGTTCCACTTTTAGTTGCATTAGGTTGAATGGAGGATAATAACATTCTGAACCTACTCATATGCATGCCCCTTCTAACCCATGACAAGGATGCTGATAATCGTTGATAACGGCCATTTATTGGCTGATATCATTCTAAGCGAAATTTTGAATCTGCAATAATAATGCCACAGAAAAACGTATAATGTTTCTGTGGCTGATGTGTTAAGAACATTGGACTAATAAAACAGCCAACAGTCATGGAGCAATAATACAGTAATGTAAAACAATGATCACAGAATAAGAACTTTTAAGTTAAAACTATGAATATTTGGAACTGACCTTACTTGATGGTGCTATCCAGTACAAAAAGGACAGGATTGGCAATCCAAACGCTACACCAAGAACAAGAAGGATTTTAACTGCTGTGGTCTGCTGACGTAATCCGGACAAGTTCTCGTACCAGATAGAGAGGAGTTGCTGTTGGCAGTTTGGATGTGCCACAAACTGCCCCATTGGTGGTATTTGTGTTTGTGTGTGAGAAAGGGAGAGTAATTTAGAAGGATTATTTAGGGACAGTAGACTCCATAAAACCAACAAGATCAAATGTAAAACATGTGCATCAGTTATAAAACTAAAAATGTGAGTGCTTTTCTCACATGCTTACCTTTTTAACTTCATACTTTATTGCAAGTTTTAACCTGATTAGGTTTTGTCTGCCCAAGGTCTCTGGGCTTGGACATGATTCAGTGTCCCCGTTTAAGATGGCCTTCACTTCCTCTGTGTTTCGACACAAATCCAGCAGTCCCACCACAAAATCTTTACACTGCATGGATAGCTTCTTGTAATCATTCTATAACGGACAGAGGAAACACTTATAGCACTATTATGAATGGCATAAAAACAAACTATAAAACATAAATTCCTTTCATGCCTGCAGCATTAAAGAGGCCTTATTATGCTTTTGTGGGTTTTCTCTTTCCTGTAGTGTCTTAAGTAGGTTTTTGTGCATGCAAATGGTCTACAAAGGCTCAAATCCAAAGGTCCCTGCAGTGGGAGTTTCTCTCCTTTGGACTCCTTTGTTAACTTTAGTGACATAGTGACATCACTATGTTACACTCACGTTTCTATTGTCTACCTAGCGCTCCAACACATTGTACGTGATAGCGTAAGTGGCGGGACATCTCTAAGCGGTTGACCAATCACAACAGAGCCAGCCAGCTAACCAATCAGAGCAGACTGGGCTCTGGTTTCAGACAGAGGGTGAAAAGAGCTATGCAATATGAGGATGTAAGAAGAATGTAAACATGTCTCAGTAGATGCACAAAATACAAACATGAACCGGAAAATGTGCATAATAGGGCCCCTTTAATCGGCACAAAGCTGCTCTCCCTGATATGTTATTAAATATTTTACCTTAAACTCCTTCTCAATATTGGATAGAACTTCAAGCTCATTGCTCATCTCCAAAGCCGCCATCACCGGGTCTTCATTGGAGAGGGACAGATAAGCAGGACTGGCCAGACATTTATATGCATTGATGCGTGATTGTGAATGTCTGAATGAGTCGTGCCTCTGATGCTCGCTGCAGGTCCTGCACTGGCAGAAGTAGTCATGGGGGCGTTCTACACGGGATCCCTTCATAAGAAGTATATGCACAATTTCATACTCGTGGCACTGGGAAGCCAGTATGATGGGGGTGATGTCATGAGAGAAACGTGTGCCATCCTCATCATAGGCGAAGAAGTCATCATGTGGGTCCACCTGGCTGGGACTGTTGGTCAGCCTCTGTCCGTCTGCGAAGGCCTCATGGCCCAGTAAAGCTTCCACTATACGGATGTAGCCTTTACTGATGGCTAACAGTAGAGCATCTCCAATTCGAGCCAGGTCTTTCCTCCTTAGCAGGAGCTTAGTGACTTCAAAATGCTCATTTGCAACTGCTAGCTGCAATGCATTCTGGCCCATGTAGTTCACACAGTTGATGTTGAGCTCTGGCTGCTCCTCTAACATCCGCCTCACTTCAGGAATGTTTCCATATTCTGCAGCATCTAAGAAAAGCTCCTCTGCCATGGAAAGGCAGAAGGAGGACTCCGCACGATACAGGTAACCAGCTCCCCGTAATACCTGCTTCCGGGATTTGTGCACGACATGCTGCATCGTCATGGCTCTCTGATCATTGCTCCGCCTGAACACAGGTAAACAAATGGCTCAATACCTTATCTGTGTACATTCATTAATGTATGCCTAACATTCTACCATTTCCCCCCTTAATACAAATCACACATATTTTTGATGTGTAAGATTTTACTATTATTTTTTTAAGCAAGCACATTATTTAATGAGTCTTCTGTTTTTTGTAAATAGCCTTAAGGTCAATCTATTTGACCAAAAATGTCCTTGGGACTGAGACAGCACGGAGCTAAATGGATGGACATTGGACAGCCGGTCTCAGCTGAGCTATAACTCACACTACACGTGTGACATCTCCCACAGATCCATCATCTGCTCTCCTTCATCTCATGGCCTCGCACCGTCCATCTACTCACCCTCTGCCAGAGAGTTGATCAAATCAATTTGGCATTTCCGGAATATTATACAATAATGTCACCAATGTGGATCGTCAGTGATAAACTTGTAATTATGTTCAAGTATGATGTTTACTTCATTCATTGCGATATAACCACACCACATTATTAAAGTGACCATCACTTACACTAATTGTATTTTGTGTCTTGGTCCAATTAGTAAATGTACTTTACATTCAGTAAATGCATTTGAATAACGTGATTATCTCCAAAGCTAATTGCTTTAACAAAGATAATGATAGATGAGGACAACTTCCCTTCATTCAATCATAATTAGTGTTTATAAGATCTTACATAACTGAGCAATTTGATGAGTGCATGCCATTTATACATAATTGGTTGTTATACAGACAAATTACTTATCTTTTGCATCTATACCAGCTGAGGCGGAATAAAATAAAGTGGTGTCAGGCTGTTCAGCCAGAGAAGGTGCGGAAATCACAACGAAAAGTGATTGATAGTAGTAGTATTGATGTAGTCGTTTTATCCTTTAAAATGGTACAAGCAGCTGCTCAATGTGCATTTACCTGCCTGAGTTTCTAAGAATCCCTTGTTTATTTGTGCTGCTGCTCTTCCTCATCATGACAGGCAACTGGGTGATAAGGGAGATGGAAAAAAAACAAGATGCACAAACTTTAGTGATACAATTTCAAATATATGAGATTATTCTGCATTGCTGGCTGAGATGTGTGTTTTGCATATGATATCATCACTAAACATTTGTAGAAACTGAAAAAAAAAGATTTCCTGTCATGTCTACTTCCTCATGCAGAGAAGCCAGAGGACATCAGTGACAAGGACATGCACATAAGGAGATTTAAAGAATGAGACACTGCAGGATGAGATCACTGTCTCACTCTGTTTGTCCTTTTAGGAATATCATGGGCCTGAAGCTTTACCTTAGAAGCCTAAACAAACTCCAACATGTCTCAATTGATTTTTGGAAATAAAGCACGAAATGTCAGTGTGCATCTAATATGCGTCACATGAATATTAAAAAAAAAACTCTAACAGGATGATTTACTCACCTCACAGGAGACTTATGCGCCAAATGCCTTCAGTTTCACTTCATCAAGACATTACAACCCGAAACTACGACCAAAAGTGTCCATCTGCTCCTGCATCCCCGGCTCCGTCTGCCTCTTGACCACCTGTCCGACTGACTGCGTCCCACCTTGGGTCTTTCTGCTGACGGTGCTGCCTCTGCACGCCCAGTGGGCGGTTTTCTAGCTTTACTGTGTGTTTTCTATTACAGGATATTAGCAAATGTGGGAACTGTGCTGAATATTATATAAACTGTTTAATGTCCTTGTTTTTCCATAAATGTTCCCGTTAAGCCGTCTAAACCAAGATATTAAAGTAGCCTACTTTGTCAAACTATTAGAGGATTTTGGAACAGCAGAAATCCACTGACCTAACGGGCAGTGCCATCATTTGAGGCTGAACTGAAGAGACTATCAATGTGACGGCTGCAGGCGAGACCACTCCTAATACTCTGGTGTTGGTCCCCTCTGACAATGGATTATTTTAAAGCAGTAGGCTACGTGGCTTATGTCTATAGGTCAGCATAAACAATCTGGAAAAAAGCTTTCCTAGCTCCTCTTAATTCATTGTGCTATTAAATGTAAAAACAACACATCCTTAGCCTATAGGCATTTTCTCCAAGCAAATAGTGCTATGCAAAAACAATTATGATAAATAAATATGTGACATTTCGTAAATAAGCATATAGCTAGAACATATGAAATATGGCTGAAAAACGTTCAGATTTTATTTCATTATATTATTATTATTATTTAGGCTTTATATGTTATTTTTTACAGTAACGTAGGCTATGTTACTGAATTTGAATGCCGATTTAGCCTGAATATAAGAGGGCAGAGAACAGTTTTTGTCAAATTGGTCAAACACAAAAAAACGTTGATTATTAGGTCGGTAAGGAGCTGAAAACAATGATGGGATGTTCCAATGTAGCCTACTTTAGCGCTAAAAATAACAATCATTAATAATTTGTTTTTTGTTTTATTTAGCTCTGTTCTCATACTTGCTGTTGTTGATATGTACATTTTACGATACTTCCAGGTGTACCTGAATGCAACCAGCAGCCCTCTGCTGGCCATGGCGGGTAAATACCCTCCACTCTCCCCGTTGTCAAGGAACTGCGTCCTCGGTTGCTATCATGGAGGGACTGTACACACAGACAGACACTTTAAAAGTGACAGCTAAGCCGAATTATTTCTGAGTTTTTTTTTTGAACGACCATTCACGAAAAGTTAGTGCAATGTGGGGTCGAACATTTCCTCTGCATGTTTATCTTCGCCCTGAAAATGGTTGAAGGAGTTTGAACGGAGTACTGCTGACGTTATCTAAACAAGACCCAAGAAGCCAAGTTAGCAGCTAGCAGCTAACCTGCATGTCTGTCAGGCGTCAACAAGCTGCAGCAGCCTCGGAGGATGCAAGTTGTTCAGGGCAACTTCTTCTACCACTCGTATCCTTTAAACAATAAGTTATTTACGCTGCAGAGTTATTTTAGAAATGTGTTTTACTTGTCTACCTTAGATACACCTGTGTAAATGTAAAGAAGCTAAGTAAAAGTAGCAACAGCCTCACGTTAACACGTTTTAAAATAAAAGTCCTGCATTCAAAATGTAACTTTATTTAGTATAACATTAATAAAGAGTACCAAAAGTAAGCATGTAGAATAGTTCATTTAAGAGGTAATGTAGGTCCATATAGATTTATAAATATTGATGAATGAATGTGATACTTTTATGTTGCAGCTGTAAAATATTAGGTTTTATTTGTTTACTATAGCCCTATAGTCTATAGGTTAAAGAAAACGATATAATACATCACCATTTATTCGATTTTTAATGTTGTATTAATAATTTAAACCAACTCAAATAAATGTAGTGGATTAAAACGTGTTATATATCATTATACAGTCAGCTAATTCTCTCAAGCTGAAGGTTACATTCAGGTAACACACTCTGGTATTTAAAACGTCCCCCCTTAACTTTGCTCTTCCAGAAATTCGAGGTTGGGAGGCCTCGAAGATGAGAGACAACTTTTGGTTGAAGAGCAGAAGTTATGCAGATCCAGATCTCGCAAGTTCTCCACAGAAACCAACCGACGAAGGAAGTCAGTTTATTGTATACTAACTATGCATTTCTGTTTTAATTTGATGTCCTCTCAGGTCAAACTTGTGTATGCATTCTGCAACCCAGACCTGCCCAAGCAGACACTTCTTTTTTTTTGGAGTGGCCTAGAGTGCACCCCCTGGACAGCTTATGGTTCTGTCCTGGGCTAAGCACCTTTGCAGGATGGATGGTGTTGACAGGCTTTTGCAGTCTAGACCTGGAAATAGATCTATGGGCACCGCGGGTAACTGTGGGCCATAGCAGTGACTGCAGCAGCGTCCCCCCTCTGACAGCTAAACCTGCTAAACTGAGCTCCGCGTGAGGCTAAAATCTCTAACAGATATGAATAACTTTCTAAATGTGTGTTTCCATAACAGAAGCTAAAAGTGAATGTTGCTGTCTTTACTGTAAACTAGGAGCTTGCAATAGTGGGTTAATGCAAGGAGAGCTGTAGGTGGAGGTCGGATTTATTGTGAATATTCAGGTGATCGTAATGCCTTTACATAATTACAGTGCCGTTAAAGAGCTTAACACATGTCTGTACAAGAACAAAATGACCTACATATTATATTTGTTCAATTTAAAGGAGGGACATATGAATCGGTCTAAACAAACTATCTATTTAAAAAATACATTAACTTGTTTTTGTCTTAACTTTAAAAAAAACAATTTAAGTATGCACTGAGCAACATTTTACAGACTTTCGGATGAATATAGTATTACATATAATATATTGTCTAACAACTATAGCATGCTGATGCTGGGAACCTAAATACTACTTTATTGCTTCAATACAATCTTTAGCCCTGTGGATTTTTGTTTATCAGTTCGCCTGGTTGCCTTTTCCCTGTCCATTAGTGTAATTGTTCTTTTGCACGGTTATGGTGTCAGACTCTCTCTTCCCCACTCAGCACTCGTATGTTTGGTGTAATTAATGTTTCCAAAATAGAGACAACACACAATAGACAAAGTTAGGGGGGAAATGACAGTGAGTAATATTTATTTATTAAAATATTCTATAGTATAATATTGTTTGTTACCATGCATTATTTTGGCCACAATCATCTACAGTATACTGTATAGTTAACATGTGATATTCTGACAGCTCAATTTTAAAGCCAATGTTTGCTTGCCCAATTTCATTCCAGTTTAACCAGGAGTAATATCATAGAGTTATGCATATTTTAAATTATAAGGACAAATGTTTTTTTACAGCGCACACTCATGCCTTATTAGTATCACATTCAATTCCATATTGTTCATAATGTAGGGGTTTCCACTTTAAAGTACTAATAAGATGCATTCAAAAAAATGTATTATATAATAAATAAAGCATAATAAAGAGTATGTTTACTTTTATAGAACATTTAATATGTCAACTAAAAGCTTTTTTTTATTCTCGCTCTCTTAAAATGTCCACTTCCTGTTGACATGGACCTCCAAACATTTGTACCTACTGTAAGAAAAACAAAATGCTGACCTCAGTTGATGTTTTTGATTGTCTTGCTCTGTAAACCCAGTAGTGAGTGATAGCTTTAATTTATTAATGACTGTCGAAAACATATCTCCGTGAACAGACTCAGGTTTCTGTGTCCAAAACATGGCCAGATTACATTTAATAACTTAAAATACACCTCGTCTTCATGCTCCGCTCTTTGTCACGGCTCAGGGCTCTGGAGGAGAGACGGAAGCAGCGGGACGCGCAGGAGCAACGGCTGATCGAGAACATCCTGAAGCAACGCAGACAGCGAGTGCAGGACGCAACTGAGCGCTTCCAAAGAGCCCATTTACCTCCCTCACAGAGACGCAGACAATGTTAGTGATGGGTCTTACAGAAATATCTTAGAATAGAGGAATAACAGCCTTGATGCATGTTTTTGTAATGTTTTCCTTTTTGGGATGTTTAAGCTTTCAGAAGAAATATCCCGAATATTGAAGATGCACTCAATGAAATCCAAGGCGCGTTGAGTTCACACACCCGGCAGTCCTCTTTCCTGTCCAGCAACTCTAACATTAGCAGGTAAAAAAGTTAGATTAATAATTATATAAATATAATTTGTCCTACATGTCAATAGCCCAGACACTGCTGTTGGATTTAAACGTCATACTGGGAAATTCTGGCGACATTTTACTTGTAATGTACTTGTGGTGTAGTCCTTTTTTAATGGCTTGAATATAATGTATTAATGTTGTTTTGTTTCTCTTAAAGAAGCGGCTCTCCCTCCCCGAAGCCCCCCACAGTGTTTAAATCCTCCCACCGCAAAGCCCTCTCTGCTGTGGAGGCCTACACTAAACTGCTTCAGGAGCAGAGCATTACTTGCTTCAAGAACAGCCCACAATCTGAGAAGTCACCAGAGAAGCAGCAAGATCTCAGTCCTCAGGTATGTTACTTATTTTTTTTATTTGACTGTGGAGGAAACACATACATCTTGGCTGGCATTTTCCAGAATAAGTGTTTTATTTTTTTATTTAACCTTTATTTAACCAGATAAAAAACATTGAGATAAAATCTCATTTTCAATGCTGACCTGGCCAAGAAGGCAGCAACGTTACACATAACACATAACACAAACATATAAAATACAGAGAACATAAAGAAAACAAAAGATGAAAAAGCAGTCACTACATTGTGCACATTAGGACAATAAAAAAAGTACACTACTTGTTACTGCAAGAGCAGCTGGTGGTGAGGACTTCAGACAACTTCAATTTAAAACATGAAATAGAGACAAGTGCCCTCAGTTTAAGGCGTGATTGAAGGTCATTCCAAGACCAAGGACCATAATAAGAAAGACTCCTTTTTCCAGCCTCAGTCCGTACAGCAGGAACCTGGAACCGTATCCAGGCACTGGATCTGAGTTTGTAAGAGTCACAAACTGGAGCAAATCTGACACATATGTAGAGTGGAAGCTTACCTAAAATGGCTTTATACATTAATAAAAACCAGTGCTGCATCCTACGCATAGTAAGTGAGGACCATCCAGTTAGGCTATACAATGTGCAATGATGAGTCCTATAGGGTGCATTTGATATATAACGCAGTGCAGCATGGTAAAGTGGGTCAAGTTTGGCCAAAACAGTGGGACAGGCAAATCTATAAATGGTATCACCGTAGTCCAGCTGGGACAGGAATAAGCCAGAGACCAACCTTTTACGGGATGAAATTGAAAAACAACATTTAAATCTGAAAAGGAAGCCAAGAGTGAATTTCAATTTCTTTGTTAAAACTTCAATATGATGTTTAAAGTTCAGATTACTGTCCAACCAAAAGCCCAGATATGTGTAGGTATCAACAAATTCAACAGAAATGCCATCAAGGGTGTCAATGGAGAGGCAAGAGGAGGACGCTGACTTGGGAGCAAAAAGCATTGCTTTGGTTTTCTTACTGTTCAATAGCAGTTTAGAATCAAGAAGCGCATGCTGCAGCGTGATAAAATCTGATTTTAAATTGGAAACGGCCATATCCAGAGAAGGAGCACACGAGTATACAATAGTGTCATCAGCATACATATGATAGGTAGAAAATTGCATCTGATTACAAATAGTGTTTACATATAATGAAAAGAGCAAGGGCCCCAAGATAGAGCCCTGTGGAACTCCCTTCTCCAAGGTGACAGGGTCAGAGACAGTACTACCCAACCTGACGCATTGAGTGCGGTCGGTTAGATAACTCTGAAACCAGCAAATGGCATTGTGACCGAAACGAGACACCAACATAACATTAGACATAATGTGGTGATCTACAGTGTCAAATGCTTTGGCTAGGTCAATAAACAATGCAACACAAACTGATTTCTTATCCAAAGCAGCCTTAATATCGTCTAAGACTTTCAGACTGGCAGTCACAGTACTGTGCTTTGATCTGAATCCAGATTGCATAGGGTTAAGGATGTTGTGTGAATTTAAAAAAAGTTTTAGCTGAGTAGAAACAAGGGACTCAAGAATCTTTGATAACACAGAAAGATTTGAGATAGGACGATAGTTATTCAACTCCGTGGGATCACCAGCTTTCAAGAGGGGCGATACCAGAGCTTGCTTCCACACAGCTGGCAGTGTGTGAGTGGACAGGGAGAGATTAAAAATATCAGTTACTGGTTGTGCTATCATCTGAGCTGCAATTTTTAAAAAGAACGGGTCAAGGCCGTCAGGCCCGGCAGACTTTTTAGGATCAATCGAGTGCAAACCCTGTAAGACTTCAGAGACCGAGAAATAAGCTAAATCAAAAACAGGGGAGTTCAACTCTTGACTATGGCTGTGAGTACGACCATTTAGAGAGTCATGACTTTGCTCATCAAAAATGTGACCAGCCTTTTTGAAGTGAGCATTAAAGGCATTAGACATACCATCTGAATCTGAAATAAAAGAATCATTGACCTTCAGTTTTTGTGGGAAACTAGAAACCTTCTTGTTCTGAAGTGATTTAATTGTTTTCCAGAATTTGGAATGGTCATTAAAACAATCAGTGGTTAAGCTCAGATAGTAATCAGCTTTAGCTTTTTTAATAAGGGCAGAACATTTATTTCTGAGGACACGAAAAATAAGCCAGTCATCACTAGTGTTAGACTTTCTAGCTAAGGACCATTGCTTATTTCGATCATGAATGAGATCAGATAGTTCTCTAGTAAACCATGGAGTGTTCCTATTCTTAACTCTGAATTTTCTAAGGGGGGCATGTCTATTAATAATCGATAAAAAGTGATCAATAAAAAATTGGACGGCAACATCAACAGATGGAATTAAGTCAGCCGTGTTTATTATAAGACAATCCAATTTGTATTACCCCAAAAAATGTTTGGGTTATTTTTGTTGTAAGATACTGTAACACACATACACACAAACACCCACTAATACTGTATTTCAATGGGCTGACCATTGTGAAGTAATTATTTGTGATGTAACCCATTTTATAACCACACTGCAATTTATGAATGTTTATTATTGACCATTTTAGGTATTTGATTGACTACCATTTTGGGCAACACAAAGGCCTTTTTATCTCACAATAAGACCCCTAGGTGGCAGCAGTGTCCCTGTTCTGCACCAGGAACACCACAGTTTGCTGCTGCCTTCAGCACCCTCTGGTGAAATGTTAAAATACTTTTTCTATTTGTGACAGAGATTCACAATTTGCTTTTGTTAGATAGTATCTGCTTTCATTATAAAGAGGCAACACAGGGCTGATGTTTGTTAGAGTGGGACTTGAATGTATATGCAGAAAGTAGTATCTATGTTTTAAAAGATTACAGATATTTGCACCAAACCTTGTTCATAGTGCACATTTTACACCAGACACCTGCCCTTAAATGACCGTTTGTAAGTATATCACAATCTGAACCCGTCGGTTTATTTGACAGGTTTACAAGTCTTTCCATTTAGATATGTTCACTCTTTGACACAAACAATGTATTAACACAGTAACTACAGCCCAACAAATGTACAGACTCCAACATAATCACTTTCAATCGCTTTTCTGTTTCGAATGATAGAATTATTACACTTTAAATCATGTGGCACAGTTTAGGTGTAAAAGGAACATTCCCTTTATTTGCACAGACATGGGAGGAATATAAAAGACAAACATAGGATTTAATAAAGTGTTTATCCTCTCTGAAAAACAACATCTGAACGAAAGTAAACCTGCAAAACTTTTCTGTGAGATTATAAAAAAATAGAACAGTGGATAAAAATGTGTATCTTAGCCTTGACAATGCCTATTAAGATGTACATTAGCTCTATCATGGAAACACAAACAGCTTTTACTAGATTGTGAAATGTAAAATGTAAATCATTTAATATCTAATCTCTCTTCTACCTCTCTTTTGCTTCCATATTCCAGGACAGCCAACTCTCTGATAGCTGTAATTCTGACAGCATTTCCAGTAAGGACAGTTTGGAGAATGAAGACCCCAACCACAGCACAAAATATTCCTATCCGTCATTCTTCCTTGAATCAGAGAAGCCCCATCCAGACCAAAACAAACAAAATGATTTGTTACCAAATTCTGACCCAACGTCATTCTCAACCACGATGCATCTTGGTGATTACCTACAATCAAAAGATCTTCATCAATATCAGCAAAAACAAGATGATGACTCTGGAGGGCCTGATAATAAGATGCACTTTTCTAGAACTTCATGGGGGTTCACATCTGATGAGCGAACATCAAAAACGGAGTCTGCTCGGCACAACTCTAACTTATTAACTCTTTGTGAAATGATTAGTGCCGACCCAGAGCACTTTAAGGGAGACTCCTCTCAAAACAGTCCCAGTGACAACATCATCCTCACAAAGAGAGATGCTCCTGGCAACACGGCACTTGATACTTCCTGTCCTAAACAAGAGGCCCTGTTGGATCTCAGGCAGAAGGAAGTCCATGATGACAGACACTTCAAACATCCATCAGCTACAGAAATGATTGTGCCTGCTAAAAGTGGCAACAGCAAAGACTCTTTGTTTGGGGCTCTCCCAAAGCCCAATATGTACTTAAACGATAGCACAACAGATAATGCCTCGCAAGAAGAGATACTTCAGCAAACAGGAAAAGAACGCCAAAATCATTCTTCCCAGAAACCGTCTAGTGCTTCCATAAACAACCTCAATAAGGTTTTAAACCAAGAGCCCAAAACTCAGAAGCTCATGAATGCAGCATCGCTGCAACACGCATGCTTGTCCAACATTCAATCAGACATGAAGTGCCTTAAATGTCCTGAAGTGGAAACACACAAATGGCCTGTTTCAGAGAGGACATCTCGCTCAGTATGTGAAGTCAGATTCATTAAAGGAATCCTTAAAAAGCAGTCTAAGTATATGTCAGGAGATCCAGCGTGTGCATTAGGCTCCGGTCATTTGATGTTTACAAAACAAGTAGCTTTAGCGATCAGAGATAGTGTTGAATTGACCAGGTCAAAAACGAAAGATGAAGAGGGCAACAACGGTGTCAAAAAGAAGCTTCGTTGGTTTGATGAGGTGCATGTGGACACACAGGACAAAGAGGGGCACATAATGAAACAGATGAAAGGCAAATCAAATCTTCGTCCGTCATATAACAACTCCGAGGACCACCAGCTAAGCCTCAGCTCAGTCTCAGGGGCTTCCAAGCCTGGACCCGGGATGACCCCTGCAGCCTCCACTAGTTATCACTTTACAAAACAAGCATGGGCAGATGTTGGGGTTCAAGTCAGCTTGGCCCAGGAACGAGCGGAGGAGGTCAAGGCGCCGCGGAGCAGCACCAGGACCGGTGGCCCCAAGGTCCCTCGGAGAGAGCGCTCCTCCAGGGCCGGAGCGGGTCCTGTTTCCTCTCGAGCCAGAAAGGGCACCGTCATACGACCTCAATCTGCCACCGAGGTGAGTCAGATTGCCAAAACCCAAGGGAAGATCATGATGCCCCGCCCACCTCCTAGGATGGAATCCGTGGAAGAAAAGTCGTTGTGCCTCGCTAAGACTCCATATGGCATGGATCAGGCTGGTGTCAACTGTAAACAAGCTGTAGAGCAGGCCCAGGACAACTCGGAAGGCTTTCTCTCCCCTCACACACATAGTGTTATTAGAGCAGAAAGCACTGTTGCGTACACACCGATGCCCCCCTCGTATACCTACCCCGTCTCAAAGGGCAACACGAAGGGCCCGATGAACTCGGCTCCCCAGGAGGCGCAGGGCTGCAGCAGGAGAAGAGGGATGGTGTACAATGAGAAAGGCCTGTGTTTAGATTGCACTCCTACAGAGGAGGAGATCTCACAGCTCTGGCACGGCGTCCGCACGGCCTTAGCCACCAAGGAAGGTAATGTGTATTTTGGCTGGCAGCCCCACAAGCAGCTTAGGCTAGGTGTGTATGTCTACAGAGATGTGTCATTTATTAACATGCAGTTTCCCCTCAACTTTAACACAACAAAAAACCCAGTGATGAATTGAATCACTCTTTTTATCTGCAACCAATCTCCTTTCCACATATAAAAGGAGAATGCAGTGGATTCACTGCATGATGTTTGTGTCACTGCCAATTTGTTACAGATTCCCAATAAATCCTCTTTTAATAGAAAGCTATTTCTCATGGCTGCATCATCGGCCGGGTCTGCTTTACCACTCTTAATGTGCTACAATTAATGAAAATGATTCTTATAATAACAGACATACTGTTCTATTTGCGTCATCGCATGTTTTGCTATTAAAGTCACTAAAGTCTTACTAACTTTTCTAGAGAAAAGGAAGCCAGAAAAGTGGACTTAGTCGACCCTAAAAGCTTCCTGCCTCACAATGGCCTGTTGTCTGCGTCCAGCCAGTGCCAATCTGACCCATGCTACTATCAGAGTTATCAGAAGTACGGGGCTTCTTTATTACCTCGTCTACTGCTGAGATCAGACATTGGATCAAAGCCAGATTTGCCCAATAAATAAGCACGCTTTTAAGAATGTACTTATTACTGGTGTTAACTTCATTTTAGCCTCTCTATAGATCCCTGTGCTAGTGGTCAAAATGTGCCGCTGAACAGATCCACGTCGTGCTGCAAAATGTTTTCAGTTAAGCTTGCAATATCACTTTTGACACGTGAAACGAAAGCTCTAACAAAACAGAGAACAACAGTTGCAGTGCTGTGTTATGAAGTGGTATCTTTTCTTACATATTAAGGACAAATGCTGCACACATGAGTTATTTTTCACAAGCTTGAATAGAGCTGTGCAATATATCGATATTATATCCGTAATGTGACAAGTTATAATTTCCTGGTTTTAATGGCTGCATTACAGTAAAATGGTATATTTTTCTAATGTTCTAAATATGATTGTGAAACCACCGATTGCCAACCCTATAAATTGTTGTTGCATAGATATTGGGGTTAGGATGTAAGCCTATCTTTTGTGGTCTCACTCATCTTATTTATTGCAGGCTAAAGATGGAAACTATTTAGTTATGTATCCTCTGAGCCTGGGCTCACAACATACCAATTAACATCAGTTAGTATTTATGTTACTGCTATTTAAATGATTTAAGCAAATACGTCTTCTTTCAGAAAAAAACAAGCTCCGAAAACAGGCGTTGGACAGTGGGCGAGCTGTGAGGAAGCCCTGCGTGGAGCCGAGCAGAGCGCCTCCTGGCTCAGGGAACAGAAGGCTTCCTCAGGTACATGCATGCAGCTGCCCTGTGGGGAGGAAGGGAGAGAATCATTGCTAAAGATCAGTAAAAGGGTGTGTTTGAACTTGTTAAATCACTCATGCAGTCCCTTTCATGCTGTCCTTTGCTGTTGGTAAAACTGACACGATTCATGCTTCTCGAGACGAGTCTTTCTGGATGGACTTGAGTCGTTAGCGTTTTACAAATAATAAGCGTTGATGCATAATGTTTTTGTTTACAACTTGCTCTACCTGTTTTGGAGTTTATTCATATCACCCTGAGGGCTTGCTGTGTAATATAGGCTACTTAACTTTACTTAAAGTTAATCTGAGACTTATATTTGTTTTGTTTGTTTGTTGCAGCCAACAAAGGGGACCACAGAGCCTCTCAGACCATTTTCCTTTACTAATAACCTGGGCTTTGCAGAAGAAGGTACTTTGTTCTTTGGAGATGTTTTTATGAGTGTTCAATCTCACTTTTCAATTTCTATAATCAGCAGTATTACAAAAACCTTCGGTAATATGAATTTCTCCTGCATGTGTAAATGTATAACCAAAAAGAACCCAAAGTTTCCAAATGTACTATTATTTGTAAGTAAAATGAAAAGTCTGAGCCCATTTTCAATCATTTTCCGGGTACAAAAAGAGCACCAGACCTCTAGAAAGACAACACCACAGCTGCACTTTTCACATAAATGCATTTAAAAAAAAGAGAATAAGTGTGATTTCGACTCTTCTCTCAGGTTTGTTGAGTGCAGCCCAGTTACACCTGGCACATGCTGGACAACTTCTGGCAGAAACAGATCTCGTGGCTGCCATGGAAACAGCCCAAACACAGAGGCCTGGCACAGTGCAGCAGCGCAGCCAACAGCAGGGACCAAACAACATTTCTCTGGAGGAGCAGAAAATCCTCCTCTCTCTGGACAGACTCAACCACCAGCTGCACTGTAAGCACTTCAAAAAGGCTGTTTGTGTTAGAGCAGATGTTGTTCACTACACATGATTGTGATCTGGGTCATTCTATTCAGTAATAATAACCCTCCTGTGTGTTTCTGTGTGTAGGTGTGCGGGAGCAAATTGGTGGTAATGCTGACACGCGTGGCCTCGTACTTCTTGATGCTCCCCCTGTGAGTGTGAATTACTCAACGCATAATTCGTCAAACATGTTAGTGCGCTAACCTTCTTCTACTGTTTTCAGACGAGGGAAGGGAAACTCACAACCCATCACAAGAATCGCTCATCCTCAGCAAACAACCGCTCTCGAAACCAGAAGAAACTCTGACTGACAGCATGCGTGATCCACGGTGGTCTACCCTCCCTTCTGTGCATTATATACATGCCCTGTCATACTGCACAACCAGACTTTATTACTCTGTTTAAAACTCAATATATGTATAACTGCTTGAGTATTCTGGATCTAGGGAATGCAAAGGACCGTATCAGAGAAACTAGACTAAACTATTAAGTTAGAGAGATGCATTTAGATTTGAATTTTTCCATCTTCCTTCGACAAAAACTTGTGGATAAAACATATATATTTATTAAGCAGCATACTATAAGCAATGAATTCTATGTGCCTTTGAAAATTATTGTAGCTTCCAATTTGTGTTCTTTACTAATCAAAAGAAATCCCTTCATATAATTGGCACATGGCCAAAATTGACCTCAAAATAGACCTTGTACAAGATTAGATTTTATTTTCAAACTATCTCATTCTGTATTTATTGTATATAGTAAAACTGTAACTTTCTGTGCCTGACAGCGAATGAAATAAAGCTTGTTGTCAACCTACTGATAAACTGACTGGGTGCAGTGTGTTCAGCGTCTTCAGCAGTGCGAGTGTTTCATCAGTGACACACAAGGCAGTCCATAAATAGAACTGGGGGCCGGAAACGGTTTATAGAGAGCAGTGTCGCAACGCTGAAGGTGTGTTTGTCTTTCTTTGATGGCTGTAGAAAGGACGATTATATCTTGTGCAGTAGACTCAACCTACTGGCTAAACAAGGTGAGCCAGAGGCCTTCCAGCTTTTTGTTGAAGTTGACTCTACCCTGAACTCTTGCTTTAGGTCCTATTTCATTAAATAGCGTCCTTGAATAAGAGAAAAGCCTGTAGATCATATTTTTATTACGTATTAGTCGCTGGCTACTGCAATCAAACGGTTATTAATTAAATGTGTTTCTATCTCCCTTGCCAAAAACTAGGGGAAAAAAGCTCAAGGGATTATTGATGTGAGTTCAGTTGCCCCTCTTTCCCGGGCATGTCTGGTTTTGCCGTTCAGTCAACCTGCTGGGACTTGCTACAAAGGGTGGAGGAAGCTCATTTAAAGAGTCCCTATCCCATCAGTGATGACATGTTTGTGGTTTAACTACAGGTTTCTTGTGTTTCATATGCATACATTCTTGAGCATTTCTACAAGGAGATGTAAACAGTCATGTGAATGTGCTGCCATATAGAGTCATGCATCATCTTACACAAAATACTAGGAACAGACACAAAGAGAGATATATGCTCCGCTTTGGTGTATGGTGATGCCTGCAGCAGCAGAGGGAGGCCTTTTGAGGAGCTGTGTGCAGAAAGATTCTCTAGTAAAAAAGGACAAAAGAACTGTGGTTATTTGAGGAGGGACTCTAGTGGCATTTCTAAGCCAGTGGGTATTAGGTGATGAAAACGGAGAGAGGAAAACACTGACACTTCATTTGGACATGTCAGTCCTGATATTTAAGTGTCACTAAAACCAAAATGTGCCCAGTAGAAGCAACCAGGCCTTGTGTCCTCCTTTCTTATCACCGGAGCCCCTCAAGGCTGCATGCTCAGCCCTCTCCTATACCCCCATGCTCACACAAAACTGCGTGTTAACACACAGCTCCAACACCATCGTAAAGTTTGCCAATGACACCACCGTTATCGGCCTGATCACCGAAGGAAACGAGACGGCCCACAGAGAGGAGGTCAGAACCCTGATATCTTGGTGCCAGGATAACAACCTCCATCTCAACGTCAGCAAAACCAAGGAGCTGATTGTGGATTACAGGAATGGGACTATTTTGTGGAGAGAGCCAGCAGCTTCAGGTTCCTCGATGTCCACATCACTGAGGACCTGACATGGACTCTTCACACCACCACCATCACCAAAACAGCTCAACACGGCTCTTCTTCCTCTGCCGGCTGAGGAGGTTCAACATGGACTCCAGGATACTCTGCAACTTCTACAGGTGCACCATAGAGAGTATCCTGACTGGCTGCATCACGGCCTGGTACGGCAGCTGCACCGCCCTCAATCGTAAGGCTTTACAGAGGGTGGTGAAAACTGCAGAGAACATCACCAGGACGGAGCTGCCATCCATGGAGGACCTTTACTCCCAGCGGCTCAGGAAGAAAGCTCTCAGGATTACAAAAGACCCCCATCACCCCAGCCACAAACTGTTCTGTCTGCTGTCGTCTGGCAGGCGGTACTGCAGCATCCGGACTAAAACCACCAGACTCAGGGACAGTTTCATCCCACAGGCCATAATACTATTAAACACCTGAACTCTGTAAAGTGCCTCCATAAAGCATTCATCTGTTTGTATCTTGCAATTAATTTATCAAATAGTTATCACTGTAATAAATAGTATTTTTGTATTTTACATTATGTTCTTGTTTATATCATATTCTATTTACATATAGACTCCTGCATTTACTTGGTCTCTTACAACATTCTCTGCATTATTTGGCTTATTGTATTTTTTTATTTTCCTGACATATATATAGTTTACTTCATCTTCATCTGCATTACTTGCAAATTAGTCTGCAATATAATCTGCACTATTCTATTCTCCTCTGTTTCTTCTTGCACTATTATTTATTTTTGTATTATTGTTTTATGTCTTATATAACTATGTTGTATTGTTGGAGGAGCTCAGGACTTAAGATTTGCATTGCCATTTCTTCACAGTATAATGTGCATACAGTATGACATTAAAGCCTTTGAATCCTTGAATCCATCAATTGCATTTCAGAATGATATACTATATTCATATAAAAGAACAATATCAAATGAAAACACTTTATTTTTTTGCATCTGTTAGTGAATACCAAAAGTGACCATCACTCTGAATACTTTGCTGCAGGTTTTCTGTGAAATCTGTTCCCATGATGTTTAGAGTTATTATACCATACAAAGGCAGGCCTAATGACATTTAAGCCTTAACCAGCACAACACCCAGAAACTCAACAAGACCGAAAAATAAGGGGAGACATTTCTACAGATGCAAGTTCAGGCTTGTTCTTTTGTCTGTTCTGAAGCTTAATCTCATGTTTTTTACAGTCCATTTAACATGCAATGCATGACTGTCTGGTCTGGCCCAGTTTCTGTAAAACCAAATTATAATTGCATGCTTGTAAAAAGTTCAAACAGACTTGATAATAGGTTACAGCCTTTTCAACTGGTGTGTTCAATTGTACTTACACATTAAACCTTATACATATTACACATTTGAACAGGTTTTACAAAGAGATGAGAAAGTATAGAAACAAATAATATTTTATGCATAAAATTGAAAAATAAAAAACTATTCTACAGGATTTATTTCCACTGTGGTGCTGACAGTCACTATTGTGATTGTACTTAATGAAATTCCAAGGAAAGGTATACAAAGTGTGTCTGGATATGGAATGTGAGTGTGAAAGTTATTATCAGTTTTCCATTTATATTTCTTATTTCCTTTTGCTTTTGCTAGTTCTTTCCTTTGCGTTGGCAACACAGATTAATTCCAATAAAGCAAATTGAAATTGTGGGAGACGGGCAGGGAACAAGGCTGCTTGTTTTGATGTATTATCTATACCTTATATATTGTATTTTCCATTTAAGACTGTAGGGGGCACTCAAGCCCCCATCTGCCCAGCTGTCTGTAGCAACACCGTGCGTCACTATATCCGATAATAACAGCAGACCAACGCGTTTTAAACAGCGAGGACTTTCCCATTCGCCATAACTTTCATAACATTCATTGGAATTGAGTAAAAAAAAAGTTCTGCTGATATCTCGCAACATCCAACCAAACAACAGTCAGGGTGAGAGACATGAAGAGACCAAAAAGTGACCAAACTGCGTGGTGGGTGGTCCCCTCCCCTCGGGCTGCCGGGACACTGCAGTCCATCTCTTTAATGTGTCTGAGTGCGTTACAATGATGTGAAAATGACCACTTTCACTCAAACAATGGACATCTCTTGACTGGCAGCATGTGTGCACAGAAGTTATCATTCATACATGAAAATATGTGAGGCTTGTAAAATTATTAATAAGTCATTTGTAAACTTAAAAAGTGAGGTGTGGGGATTTATTAATGCGCCTTGAGTGGAGATATTAAGAATAAAAGGAGGAATATAAATTAATAAAATACATTTATATGTATTTATGCAGGACTGAATCATTATGTGAAACATGGTGAAAGTGCATGTGATAGTGTTGCATGCTGATATGTTTATCACTTTTATATTGCTCATCTTAAATGTTTGGAATCAAATCAAATCAAATAACTTCAATTAATAACAATGTATGGACAAACACAACTTGAGACCTGCATCCGAGCATGTGTGTGTGAGTGGCAGAGCAAAGCTCTTTAATCTGTTCATCGAGGCTTTACAGTGTCTGCGGGTATTTAATAGGGCTTCATAATCATTCATTCAGTGGATGTATGGGAAAAAGAGTTGAAACAGAGCCTCTGTATCCAAAGAGAGTGGATCTTGACAAAATGATTTCTCAATGGAAGAGGGGCCTCATTAGCATAACAATTGTGGGAACTGCATGGATCTACTTTTCATGAGCACTGTAAAAAAAAAAGAGGAAAATAGTAGGCTAACACTGTGTACACTGATGGGAGAGAGAGTGGTTTTCAATTATTGTTAAAATCATTGAGTTGTGAAAATGTTGCGTCATCATCCAAAGCCATAATAAACGATAAAATAATTTATATTCTAACAACAAAGAGCCTAAAGATATACACTATGGCCTGTTCTAAATATAAGAACACAAAACACATTTTGAAAAGTAGTGAAAATGCTTTAAATCTTGCAAGCATTTTAAACAAGCCCTCAAGGTAAATAATCCTGTACAAATGAAATACTGTTGAAGCAATTGTTATACCTATTTGGCATGGCAGAGTTCTGTTGATGTAAAAGTTAGGTAAAGTGTAGGTTAAGTATATCAGTACAAATTATGAAACGTGCATGTTTTTTAGTTTTTTACAGTATTTACTTCGCACTCTGGCACAGTCATAATTCAATGTTTTCCCAAATGGGTTCCAGTTGGCACCAGCAGGGGGGCCCTTGTTGAATTCAACAGGTTGCCAAAAATAAATAAATAAATACTTGAATTAATCAATCATTGCCCCGATTATGAAATTAATGTGTAAACATGACTATTAGGTAATCCATAATTCAATAAAACAATAACAAAAGTCACCATGTGGATACTGTCAAATCCTGTGAAATTGAAGTAAGAGGATTTTCACATTAAAAGTTGTGACATTAATCGCATAACATTTATTTTTGGTTTATATAATTTAAAGCTCGTGTTTTGTTGTAAATGAAGGTAAATGTTTTGCACAAATAAATGTGGAGGCCCTTGGTCCCACTCGGGCCCCTGGGCTACACTGACTGTACCTTTAAAGACTCTTGTCCCAATTAAAGCCAAGCCCCGCCTCCGGAGGAGACGTCCCATGAGTCATAAAGTTTGATGTCCTGCCCAAAGTTTAGACCCGACTGGAGCAAAA